ATCATTGCCACATGCAGTGACTGCAGGTCAGCAAATAAAGAGGAGTAAATACCCAGATTTCCTCTGGTGGCTTCCCTGCTCAGTGCTCTGCCAGAGAGATGAAGTGGAAGCAACAGCAGCAGTTCCTGAATCGATGCTCTCGCTCTGCCTCAGCCAGGTTATCACAGCAAGCTGTTCCCACGAACAACAACAACAACAAAAAAGACATTTTCTTTCATAAACAGTAAAGCTCTGCAGAGACAGGCCTTGAGCTACAGCCTCCTGCCCAGAGGGAATTAAAGCACGAGCCATCCAGGCAGCACAGGCGCCATGGCATTTATAGGGAGAAGGATCTGTTTGCAGTGCAAACATACCTGGGGTTCCCACTGTGTGCTCCGAGCGATGAAGATGTTCAGAAAGCAGAGACAGAAGTCAGCTGCTCCCCAGGTTTGCCAGCTGAACATCGCTGACAGAGCAAGAAGTCATCACCTTCCAGCCAGCATTTGCTGACCAGCTGTAAAACCAGAAGGCAACCCCCATCCCATGGCAGCATATTCGGGGCGTGGATGACACATGGACATCTCCCACAGTTTGTCCTGATGGCACAGGACAAAGCCACAGAGGAAGTCAGCTGCCTGACAGCACCTTGGGTAGGATGTGCGGTGCTTTTCACCCAAGAAATGCTTTCTCTTTTGCCTCCCCTACCCTCAATCTGCTCCTCCAACACCCTGGGGCTGCTCCCCAGTCCGCTGAGGCGAAGGACAGCTCTCGGGGTCTGTCACCCTTGTGCAAAGGAGGAGGCTGAGCCTCAGAAAACCCAAACGTAATAGTTAAAGCCATTCCCAGGCAGCTGCTCTGAGCTCCAGACTCCACTGCAACGGCCCAGATAAAAGTCCTCCAGGTGTGGGACAGCGTAATGGATGCTCAGAAGCCCCCGGGCAGCAGCAGATCTCTCAAACCTGCATCGTGCTCACACAAGCTCAGGCAGAAGGTGCCATGCCCAGGCCTGGGGTGGGCTGGCTGACCTGCCAGCACGTCAGCTGGGAAAAGAGCAGCACCATGCTGGAAGAGGCACAGAGATGGAGGGTGCATAGTGACAGCACAGAAGAAAGAAGCTTACAGACATGTCGCAAATAGGAAATCATCACCCCCCAATCTTTGTCCTGGTAAAGCATCCCTGGACCACACCTAGTTTCCAGGTTTATGTCTCTAAGATAGACTTGGTAACAACATATGCCTGGCTCCAACCTCCTGCTGGGCAAACGTTTTATTTACTTTTCATTCTGTCTGGGTGGAAGAGGTAGCAAATTTCCAAGTCTCCCTTGCTTTGGCCCCCCAGTGTCTCTGTCCCTGAGCACAGAGCCTCTCCGTCAGCCGCTCCCAGCAGCCAGACTGCCACCCCAGAGGTGAAACCTGCCTGGCACCCAGCCCCTGCTCCATGAGACTCCATCTCTGAGAAATAAGAGGCAGCTCCTCCGTTACGCCGAGCAAACCGCTCCTCTGCTGCTGCCAAACCACATGCAGCTGAAGGCCGCGTTCAGCAGCACATTTCCAACACAACTCAGCCTTTTTCTAAGTTACCCATAGGATTAAAGCAGCACCCATGGGGCTAGCAAAGCCCAAAACGTACTGGCCCAAGGAGCTGATGGCACTGGGGGGGTGCGGTATGGTCTACTGCCACTCATCTGAGACTTCCCAGCATCAGCGGCACGGTGGATGTATGCATTTCTGATGAACATTCTCTCTGCTGCTGTTGCTACCTCTCCCCTCCAGTGGCTGACAGAGGACTGCTGTCAGATTTTGGCCTTGCCCTGTTTTTCACTGTCTGCATTCTCCATTTCTTTCTTGTTACAAAAACAACAAAGCAAAAACCTCATCAAATATAACAGAGTGGGGTTTTTCCGGTCAGTAACAAGGCTAGGACCTGGCTCGCAGCGTCCCTGCAGTGCAACCTGCCAGGGGACATGGAAGGAGAGAGGGCAGAGGCATGAGAAATTACTCATGCTAAAGGAAGACCCCCTTGGGAGGAGAAAGGCTCCTGGTTTGTTCAAAACAAATTGGCCGAGAAAATCCTGGATGGAAAAGAAAGAGTAATTTTCTACAGGTTTACCTCAACAAACTCTTTCCCCAAAGAATCTACTGGCAATGCATTATCCTGGATTTGTAGCCGTCAGATCAACACACGGAGGGGGTTTGACACGTGCCACAGAGGTGCAGAGCTCCCTGATGACCCATCCTGGCACACGGACTTCTCGGTGTGTGTCAGCACTATCCCAGGCAGGGAACATGTCTTGCATGAAGGGGACAAAGAGGTGATGCAGGAACGGCAATGCTTAAAGGAAATGACAAGGCACGGGTCCTTAATGAAGGCTGAAAACTCCAGAGAAGAGCTAAGTCTGGGGATGAGCCTTTGGCATCCTTAGTCACAGGTCTCGAAGAAAATATCCTTTGGATTTAATGTCGTCCTTTTGATGGGAAACCCAAACAAAGCTGAGGAGCTGGATACTGCTCTTGGGAAGGGGGACAAATCAGTCTTTCAGGAAGAAACCTTCAAGGTAAGAAATACCATGAAATGTTTGAATTTGACTCCAGATCTACTATCTCCTGCTGGGTGCCTCTGGTGATCCATTCCAACACTGCGGGAAACATCTTGGTGCAAAGGCTTAACTCAGCTTTGAGCTATCAAAGCTCCAAGGGGTGAGGAGAGCCTATTCTCAGTCTGTCTCTAACCACGTAGGTGTAGAAGAAGAGTAACCACAAGAGATTAATGGCTCATCAGTGCCAGAGAAGGGGCATGGATTGGCGCGTGTTGGCTATGTCCAACCACACAGCAACGGTTGGACTGTGTTCCTTAGATTGCTCTGCTCAAAGCAGCAGCAGGGACTAAAGAGTAAGGAGGAAAAAGTGGGTTGAACAATTAGAAGAAAAAAAGATCTAAGCCCACAGAGTCTTGTCCAGGCAGAGAAACAACATTTTTCTCTCCCGGCCAAAATAAATGTGTGTGTCTGATTGATGCTGGGAGTCTCTGATGATTGGCTCCAGCAAGGTTAGATGTATGGGTGGTTAAATTCTATTGATCTCCCCTTCATGAGACTTGATGTTTGATTCCCTCGATGTCAGACTGAGTTAGTTTGATCTGATAATTTAGAATACCAGCAGTGCTTAATGTGGACCAGAAATAATATCTGACATGCTGCCCTTCTGCCGGGCTCTTAATGAGCAATTTGAGGTGTTAATAGCTTGGAGACCATCTTCATTTCCAGTTCTGCCACAGAGAATCACATGCTGTCTGCTGAGGGACCCGGAGAGAGTACATTACTGCTTAATTAATATGCAGAGCAGAAAAGGGAGCTGTTGTAATGTCCCCAGTGCAAACGAGCCAGCAAAGGGGCTATGCCAAACCCTTTGGAGCAGAGGCTGCCAACCCTGCCAGATGCTCAGGACCCTCAACTGCTACCGACTCAGCAGAGTTGGGTGACTCAGCATCTGCTGGAAGAACAAGGACCTGAAGGCTCAGTCCAGCAAAGCCAATTTAGGTGGAGATGAGGTAATTAAAAGCTGAAAACTGATTCAGCATTCACATTTCCAAAAACCTAAATTGGTTCTAAAAAAAAAAAAAAAAAAAAAGAGTAAAGATAAACAGGCAACTGGCCAACAAGTGGCCCCAGAGGAAATTAATTCCACACAGACTTCGCTGTAATGTGCTTGCTTCTCTGTTATTATAAAATATATGCATTGTTCTATCATCAAAATTAGATCTTCCCTCTAGCTTGTAATTAAACCCTAATCTAATTTACTAGGAGATGACAGGGGCCTCCGAGCAGAGCTTACAGCCCTGCTCCTCTATCCCTGCCCACCTCCCTCCACCTGCTTTTGCAGACTTTCCTCTGCATTTTAGGGCCTGTTCTTGAAAGTGCTGTGCATCAAGAAGGGCCACACTAAAAACTGGTTGTTACTTGGTAAGGCTCAGGCTGCGAACAGGCTACCCCCGTGCCCAGGTCTTCTCTCCCAAGCCCTCCTCATAGCCATGGCTAATTTCCAGTCTCCTCTGAGCCAAATCCCAATTCCCTAAACAAAACTGTTTATTGATGATCTGTATTATTTGTAACAGCAGCACCTCAATGCACAACGGTTAACTTTGCTCGGTTTCCCAGGGCATTATGGAAAAACCATTTGCTACTGTAATTAAAACTGCCCAGACTAGACTTTTGTACTACGTGGAGAGGCCACAGCGGGAGGAACTGCTAGAAATGTGTTTATAGATGTGCTCCAGCAGGACTGCAAGATTGCTCTTGGGCTTGCAAACCACAGCCCAGGGCTGGATGGCCCTGCTTCCCAGGGACGTTCAGACAAGTGCTCCCACCCGCCAACCTCTACAGCGGTACCCAAAGCCGCAGCAGAACCCGCCGTTTTGCTGTAAAACACTAAATAGCTGTTCTGTGAATGGGGCGTGCAGACTAAGAGACAAAAACTCACTTCACCAATGTGGTGTTTCCCTCAGGCCACGAAGGTCTGAGAAAGGAGCTTTCCAACACCAGTTTTCCTTCCCAGGGGGACCAGTATGGGGGCTACAGCAAAGCAGCAGCAGAAGACTGCGACGGCAGCAGGTCGTTCTGCTGGCAGTGCCTGTGTATGTCTTTACTATGAAATGACAACACATAGGGTTGGCAGGGAAGAAAAAGAGGTCATGTTATATATCTACTTGCACCAGTGCCCAAGCATAGGTTTGTAGCTACAGAAATAAAGCAGGACTCTAGGTTATGGGCTACGCAAACGGTGTTGGTAGCATCTCGTAGCCCCAGCTTGTCTGGAAAATACTGTCTCCTTCCCAGCATCAAATTGGTGGAGATCACCTATTGCCTGAGCACCTAATCCTGACTGTGGCTGGTGGGTGTTATTTCCACGTGGGAAAGTTGAAAGCAGTTTGTCAGATCCCAGGCAAACAGCCCTGGTCTTTGCAAAGTGCGAACAGGACACGAGGAAGGAGAAGAGCCTCAAGGGAAGGGCAAAGGTGCACAAACCTCATCTGGCTCACGTGGCTGTCCATCAGGAACGACCAGTGGTACTGGACAAGAAGCGGGCTGCAATTGGTCATCTTGACATAACGCACATCTTCAGTGTCATTCAAGATGCAGCCAAAGTCCAGGGCCATGGTCTGGATGTGGAGATTTGGAAAGTAGACTTCTCCCCGAATGGTGACCTGCTCCTCATGAGGGTGCTCAAGAAACTGTATCTTCAGAACCTTCTCTACTACCCGGATATTCAAACCCTCTTCATAAGCAGGGTTAAATCTGATGGAAAGATGAAGTTCCTCCCCTATCTCCAGCTTCATGGGCTGCAAGGAAATTAAGAGTATTAATCACCAGGGTGATGAAGTCCCAAGGTCTGACAGCATGGAACAAGTAAATGTTCAAAGTGTGACCCCAATGTAGGCTTCTCAGTTCATCCTGCATTTTCTTCAGAGTGAGTGCCTGACTGCAAGCACCACCACACTCTTGTCTGAGACTCTCGGGCTCATCTCACTGTGCTCTGCATCAATACCAGAGGGAAATAAATATTGTTCTTCTGAATTCTGGACCCACAAAAGCTATGCGCTAAATAGACAACCAAACCAGCGCAGTGGCATGCCAGGGCCTTTTGCCTTGACTCTGGAGGAGCTCCTCTACCCTCACAGCACAAGTGACACAGCATTGCAGCCTCACCCTTGCTGGGGCGAGTCACTGGCATGGCACAGAAGCGGTGGCCGTCCCTACAACAACACGTGTTTAGCGGAGTCCACGTCCAACATTTTCCACCAACACCAGGGCAGGTGCCAGGCAGCGGCTGGAGGAGCAGCCTCAGCCTTCCTGAAAGCAGGGAAGCCCTTGGAGAAAGCAAGCTGCTCTTGAGGTTACCTGAGAGTGGCTGCTGGAGAGCTGGGATGGCTTCCAAGAGACACCTTTACCCCATGGCTTGCCCAGGCCTAGTCGCCTGCTCCCCTCTCCTCACACCTTAGAGCCAGAATGTATTTCAGATGACGTTTCATTTCCTTCAGCAGCTTGTTTGGAATCTGATTTAGTTCAGGCCAGTCTACTGCTGACTCTAAAGAATAAACTCTACTAGAGGACCTCCCAACAGCAACGTACCACCACACTCCTCCCTCTTCAAAGCCCACCTGCAGGAAAGCCCACGGCTGCTCACCTGAACATCCGCAGAGAGGGGCTGCCGGTCTGCATTGCAGATTGAGAAGGGTTGCTCTAAGGCCAGGACAATGCTGAGTGGCAGGGAAGTGATGTTTTTTAAAGAAAGAGGCTGGTACTGAAGAGTTAGGACATCACTGGGTTGCTACAGAAACAGGAGAGAAGGAAAAAAAAAAAAATAACCTGAAGTGGCCATGGACCATCTTCCCCTTCTGATGCATTTCAAGTTTTTCAACCCCCAAAGTGCATACATCTCTACTGTTTTTATTAGTTTCTACCCTTCTAGAAGGTCTTTCTCTAAAAATATCACATGCTTTTCATGTTTAGAAACCACAGCATCCCCCCGGGGACAAGGAAACTGTCTCGTGTACACATGAGGGAACAGGACCCCGAGAGGAGGCAGCTGCACGAATAAGATCAAAACCAGAATGTGAACCCAGACCGTTTGTCTCCAGTTCTGTATCCTCTCTTGAGCAGAACCACACGAGATGATTTTCACTCACATGCCGTAATTTCTTACCACATTATAAGCTATAGTAGCCTCGTAAAAGCAGTGATGCTAGTCAGAGGAGAAAAGCAAGCAGGATTTGGCCTGTAGCAGAGAGCCTGCAGTAACCAAAGGTTAGCTTTGAACATTTACATGCGCATACAGCCAGCTGGAAACCGCAACACTGTGGTTGCAATGTGTGTCCTGCTGCCCCTGCTCCAGTGACAAGGTGTCTGTAGCCCCAAAGCTAAGTTCAGACTAAGCTATTTCTTCCTGTTTATGAATTGCTCTGGGCTTCCTGCATGTTTTATATAATCTGGACAGTGTTTGGGAAAATAGTTCTGGGTGTATCGATATCAAACAGCTACAGTGTCACAGCACTTGGTAAATCGGAGCGCATGGCATCAAACAGACATCAGGGATAGCTGAAAAGCTCCTAATTAAAGCTGAACTGCCTGCTCACAGGAAGGGTGAGGAGGGGGTTTAGCATTGCTCAGCTGCAGCAACCTGCTCTCCCACCCACAGCCCCGGCACCCAGGCTGGCTGAGCAGTGCCCACGCTGTTCTCGTGGGTCCCACACATCTCACCCCGTGCCCTTGGCTCAGCTGCTCAATTCTGCCTCCACATCAAGAAGGGCAGAATAGAGCTGGTGAGACTGTCCCCAGTCCCAGAGGAGCGAAATAATGATCTCAGTGTTAATGGTAAAAGCTTGGTCCTGCTCAACTCGGCAGCCAAAGCCCCACGGGCTTGGAGAAGCTGTTGAACTTGCTCCTCAGAACACAAGCACAACCCCCCCCCACGCCTTCAGTCATCAGCCACGCTATTAAACGCCAACACACAATCCAGAGACTTACCTTCTCCGTCCGGAAAGTGATTTCTCTGGAGGACATCTGCAGAATGGGAGCAACGAACTCGCACGTGACATCCACTTGCATTATCTGTACCTTCCCTGCCTTGCTCCCCACGATGGCGTGGCACAGCAGCCGCTCCTTCGCTACCTGCACGCAGGAGTCACCCGTCACTCAGTGGGTGCTAGCAGGGTGCCCAGAAAACGCCCTGCCTTTGCTAGCTGCCCCACCACAGACCGTAACACTGCCATGAAGTTACAGCCGTTGGTCTCCTCAACAGCCCCTCTACGCTTTTTATGCTGCGTTCTACTGATTCTGCACTCAAAGGTCCGTAATGCTCCATCCCAATATCCACAAAAAGCACTCGTGAGTCACGTGCTGCCTGCAATTGTAATAATCCCTGCCCCAAAGTATTATTGTTTTGATTTGGCCCATTGCCAAGCATAATGCTTACAGAAAGCTGTAGGAAGTGATTTAAAAAAAAAAATTAAATTAAGGGAAACAGGTGATAGAAGGGCCAGTGCTAGCAAACCCTCCCTTGGAAGCTCAGTGGACAGGAAAAACCCAAAAAGCCAACCTGCCTTCAGGTAAAGAAGGGGTCACTCATTCCTAGGATGTACTGTGCTCTCCTAGAGCCGGTTTTAAAAGAATCCTCCCTAGGAAAGAGACGTCTCGCGCTTCACATGAAAACCCTCTGCTTAAGCTGGATCCTCTTACACTTAAGACTTTTTCCTGATTTCTCATGGTTTCAACTCCCCAAATTCCCCCTGTCATTTCTCACTCTTCCCTCTGATACAACACCACGATCAACTCCTCCTCGAGAGTCTACAGACTTCAAAATCATCTGTGTTGCACGTGCGAGCAGGGAGTTGGGCTTCTGACCAACCTCAAGACTATTAAGTTCTCAAGACGCAAGGAAGGCGGAAAGCTCGCTTCCAGGGGCTCGGCTTTGACTGCCGGAGCCAGGTAGCCACAGTTGAGCACACAGACCCCCTTTCAGCTTTCCAGGTAAGACACCCTCACCTTATCACTTCATTTCCTTTCTGGTACCTTTTTTCCTCTTCAGCAAAACCTTTGGGCTCAGAACTGCACAGGGATTGTCCCATCGCAGTGAGTAATCAAGTCTTCCTCAAGCTACCACCGAGGCAACCCTTTAAAACACCTTTCAAAACACTAGTATCAGCAGGAGTTTAATGCAGATTTGTTCCACATTCGCTTAAACATCTGTGCCCAGCAGTCTTGAAGAGAGGGAATGCACACCAGGGTTAGCTGGCAGCTTCTCTGCAGAGTTGGATTTCTCTCGTAAAGAAGGGTCCAGCGAGCAGAACATCCAGTGACCCTACTGAAATGTCCCCCTCTGAGCTGCCATCCAAGGGTGCTGCAAGACCTGGCTGCCCTGGGGACACCGGGGCTGGCTGAGACACTGGGGCGAGCTGTTATGGAAATATTGACGACAGTCAAGCTGCCAATTATAATGATCCCTGGGAACAGTTTCCCACATGGATGAACGTCAGCCCGATCATTAGAGCCGACACACTGTGCTCGTTTTTCTCCTCCAGGACTCAGTGTTAGACAAGCCCTCTGGCCCATGTTTCTCTACAGAGGAAAAATGATGCTGCTCCCAGACACTCCCTCCCTTCACAGGTGTTTTGTTTTACTCACTGCTTCCCCCAGATATGTTACTTCCCATTTTTTAATTGACTTTCTGCCTGTGCTTCTAGTCTAAGCATAACTTATTTTCTCTGCCCTTCCTTTCTGCCCCATTACAACACTTCGTAACCTGCTGTTTGCCCCTGAAGTAGCAATATTTCCATCAGCTCGTGTTTTGGTATCAGCAAGTTGGGTTTATGGTAGCCATGGAAACATGAAAAAGCCTTAGCAACTGATGGTGGCCAGAGAGGAAAGCAACTGGTGCTGCCATGGTAACTTGTGGCGTTAAAACAGTTTCTTGAAAGCACTTGCTCATTTTCTCAGGCAAATGTCAAGGGGCTGCAAAGAAGTCTCAGCGGAGGTGATCTGATGGGGAAGGCACAGCCCTTGGGGGGGGGAATCTCACCTGGGGAGTGCTGGAAAAGCCTTCCAGCATCATGTCCATAGTCTTGCCTGGCATCAGCTCCACCCTGAGTGGTCGAAGCTTAAACACAGGGCAGGCAGGTACGGGGCTCTGGGAGGGACCTTTGCCCTTGGTGTTACTGATGGGAGGGAGACGATCATGGGGGCGAAACGGGGCGAAACCTTCCGTTGTCCAGTAGAGCTGATGGGTGCGTCGTCCTTTGTTCGTTATCTTGAAGTGGTAGCAGCAGGGATCCAGGCTGGAAGAGAAGCAGAGATGGAAAATGCCATGGGAGCTGCTATTTCCCAGCGGTCACCCAGCTTCAGCACCCTGAGGGCAGTATCTGACTGCGCAGCAATAGAACCACCTCCGAAAAGGCTGACCTAGCTCAAAGCTTCAGCAAAAACCAGACCTTGGGTGCCCCTAAATTTATCACCATCCCGCAGCTGGTCTGTTTGCATACAGCAAGGAAGAGCTTTGTGAAGATCATCGTCCCCGTTGCTGCGGACAGAGCATCGCCAGCCTTTGGTGCTTAATACTTGGAGCGTTTTCCCAAGGGGCTTCCCACAGGTCTCGCTGCATCAGACACTAAGCTGGCCCATCCTGGCTGTGAGGGGATGGCAGAACAGCCTCGCTGCCATTTCAGCTTCCCCTTGGGAGCTGCTGCCTCAGATGGCTTCCTCTGAAGATGCTCTCGGGGAGCTACAAGGTGTATGGACTCATCTGGTGACCTGGACACCACTTGCTTCGCTGGTGGGGCCTCTGCCTTGGCACCCATGTTATCCCCCTCATCCCTTAGGGAGCATCCAACCCTCATCGCCCCCAGCATATCACCCTTTGCCTGAACAGTGCTGCTGGTTTTGTGTTGTAGGAAGATAAATACACTGTGAGAACACAGGATCAACAGAAGTTTCCTCGAAACAAACAGAGCAACAAGACCACTCTAGCTGCTGAGGGAATGGAGCGACAACAAGAGATGAATAACTCGAGCTAGATATAAAGCAAAATAAATATCCAGTGCAGATTGATTCCTTCATGTAAAGAAACACTAACTGCAGGCTAGTATGCAGTAATTATTTCATCCTCTAGAAATCTAAGCATGACCAGCCAATTAATTGTTCCTGGAACAGTTACTGGTTTTTTGAAAGGGACAGAATACATGGCTTACAAAATGCATGTCTGCCACGAGCGGCTACATACAAACACAGAAGTGACAGTATAGAACAAACCATGTCTTTAAAACAGACTGTTAACAAAATGATGTGTACAACCTTAGGATTAAATGGTTTATGTGGTGGACAGCAACAGATGAAAGCTCGGGGAAGCTCTGGGTAGACGCAGAATTTGTGGCTCTGGGAAAGCCCAGCTGACCCGAGATGTTGCCCGGGTCCCATCTCGGTTCAGCTGGTGGCAGCTCTGGAGCCGACAGCAATGGCAACAACCCCAAACTGAGCCTGCAGGCGCAGACGTGAAGCGGGGCAGAGGACAAAGGCACGAATCACATTGTCATTGTCCCCTCCGCTGTGTAGCCAGTTTGTGGCTGCAGAGAGCACAGGACTTGCTAGACAAGCACCAACCTCCCTGGCTTAGGTGGATGGCTTGTGCGTGTATATTTAAACCCCTCAAATCTATCCTAAATGCTTAGGGTAGGATTAGCCTGCTCTTTTCACCCCAAGCACAATGGACCCTCTTCACAGCCAGGGAAAGGAACAGGCACCTCAAGAAGACTATTCTCACCCCAAGAGGTCTCCAACACAAGGCAAACAGCACTTTGAAAAGGCTTATTTTTCTCTTGTGTACCAGAACATGCCTGGTTTCAGACATGTGCATCAGGGTCAGTGAATCCCCTCCTTCAAGCTAAGCTCTTTAATTAAAACTCTCCATTTATCCCACCCAAACTGAGCCGACTTCTCCTCCTCTCCCTTTCAGAGCTGGTCCTGCAGCCACCGCTGCAGCGGTGACGGAGGGGACGCCGAGGAAAGTGGGCAGGAGAAACGAGGAAAGAGCGACTATGTCTAATAAAGAGCAGGCTGGCAGGGCAGCAGGGGAAGACGAGCAAACTGAGGAATGATACGGGGCAAAGACAAATTCTGCTGCTCCTCCAGGACTGCCAGGCAGAGGGAAAAAAAAAACAGCACTGTGAATTTAGTCGAGGAGCTGCGAACAAGCTACTGCCCCGGTTTTCCGCTGTTACGAGATGATACCCCATAGTGAATGGAAAAGCAAGGAACATTATTGCAAAGGGAAATATGTTTATATTTGTAATGTAGCATTTTCCAGACAGAGGCTTCCAGGACCTGCTGTCTTTCTCCAAATCTTTACTTGATAAAGTGAGGAAATAAATGTATTCTACCTAAACACAATTCAGTGATATTTTAGCAACTGGTTTCCATTTCGGTGTCTTTTGAGTGTATCTAACAACTTCCAAATGGCCATAAAATGTTTCTAAAGGGATCCCTGTGGCTTCAGGGAAACCGAGCGAGGACCTTGAGCACTGAACAACAACTAGCCTTAAGGACTACTGCAAAACTCCTCCTCGCTGAGCCCACGGGAGATGCGGGAGCTGAGAGATACCCTACCTGAAGTGGGGTCCCAAGTTGAGCTCCGGAGCAAAGGGTTTGTCGGTGACAATCGTGGTGCCGATGCCAACAGCCCGGACGGGGATAGCGTAGGTGTGGCTGTTCTCTATGAACAGGTTCACCTCGTCCTTGAATTTCTCAGTGTCATCCAAATTTGCTATGACAGCCACTGACACTTCTGTCTCGGGGGGGATCACTCCTTTACTGGGTTCAATCCTCCAGCGTGAGCATTTTCCAGCCTGTAAGACAAGCCGAACACTGACTTAGGATGGAAACCACAGACCTTGGTCTCTTGTGGGGTGCAGGAAGAGGAAGAACTAAAGATATGAGGGTAAAAACCACAAAGGCTCGATTTCCCTAAATCTAAGCTATGGTGTCTGGAAACAGCAACTGTGCAGGAGCTTACACGACCTTTATTTTGCCCACCCCTAACAGATTCGCTTCACTAACCCAGTTTTGCCCAACCCAAGGGATGCTCATCCTCAGGAGAAGGTTATTTCCCCTCCAGTCTCTCTTTTGGAGTGCACGCCAAGGGAAGCTACTTTATCTCTCTTGGCTTCCTGAGAACAGTGGCTGGGTTGGCAGAAAGACTCAAGGCCAGAGGAAGCCAGGACTGCTCAAATCCCCCCGCAGCAGCCACATGGCTGGGGGATACTGCTGAGACCCTGCAGAATAACTCTACCGAACCGGCTGATCAAAACCCTGACACCAAAGTCTTCTTCCCCAAGAGCTACTCAGTGCTTCTCAACAGCCCCCGAAGAACTGAAGCACTTGGTTCCCACTGATCATCAGCTGCAGCGAGGTGCCCCAGTGCCCTCGGCTTTGGAAAATTCAGCCATAAATGTTTATAGCAGGGCAGTAAAGCAATAAGCAAAAAGCAAACGGCAAGACGTGTGCCCTGTAGGCACAGCCCAGGCTTGCCTCTGGTTTCTCGTGGACCTCCCTCTAGGGATGAGGTAATAAAGGTGCTGGACCCCCAGCCCACCTAAAACCACATTCACAGGGAGCAAGCTTGCAGAGGAGAAATGCATGCAACGCTCCCTGGCCAGCCTGAAGCGCACTGGGATGTAGATGTACGGCTTTGAAGTGTCCACCACGGCGGTGGTGGTACCTGCACCCCACGGTTCGGTGCTGTGTTTGGGATGACAGGCACTACTCACCCAAAACTGCAGTATTGTAAGAGAAGAGGGATTTTCCCTTTTTTTTTTTTTTTTTTTTTTTTTTAATAGAAAGAAACAATGTGCTTGGAGGCCTGACGTGATCCAAGCAAAAGCTTGATCCCAGTGAAGTTAGCTCGAGTTTCCATCCGTCAGGCTGGCAACGCTGAGCTCTAACAGGGCACCAGCCAGCCCAGGGGAGAAGAGCATCAGCAAACCAAGCAGTGCTTCGAAGACATGGGAAACATTTTAAATACCTCGCCAAAGCGCCCTCTGCTAACAAGGGTAAGACTAGCTGGAGGCCAGGGAAGCAATAACTTGCTGAGCAGTCAGGGTCCCGAGCAGCATGTGTAGGTGCCCCAGCTACGGTAAGTCCTTAGGCTGGCTGTGCCTGCCTGCATCCCAGGATGGAGCACGCCAAAGGCATCAAAATTATTCCAGGTGCTGGCAAAATTAACCAACTCCGCTCCGTTTAATTTGTCCTCTAGAGCTGCAAAAGAAAGTCTTTAAAAAAGCAAGATGAGAACGGGATGGAGGAAAGTAGCTGGCGCAGGGTAAACCCTGGACCACACAGGATTCCACCAACCCTCTTTGGTTCCCCCTGCGTCTCACGCGTGGCCGGTCACGAGCCTCAGAGGCATCCACTGCACTGCCACCAGCCGAGGGCCCCCCAGCCAACACGATCACACCAAGCCGGTGGGTGTTAGGTTTCCATTGCCTTTAGCGTACAACTTTTCCTCTGATTCATGCTGACACAGGGTAGCTCGTGCAAAAAGGAGACCCGGTCGCTCTGCTCCGGAGGTGAAACTGAAAGCCTGCTGTCTGACAAAGCTCATTTATCAAAGCTTGGCAACAAGCCGGGCAGTAAATTGCACCCAAGGAACTATTACTGAGCAACAATGATCGACTGTCTCGATGGCAGCAGACTTTGAATCTCCCAGTGCAGACCCACCAGGCCCTGCCAGGCCAACAGCCGGCCCCAGAGGAGCAGGATCTGCACCGTGCCCTCATTCTTTCAGTCAGCGTTTGCTGTGGGTCCAAGGGGCACTGCGGGGCAGCGCGCTGCACCACTGCACAGGAGACCTGCCAGCACCAAAAGGCTCTGCCGGGCCACATCCACTCAGGCTTCTAGGTCAGCTTCTGCCTACACGGATCCTGGCTGTGGCTCAGAGACAAGAAATCTCTTGGAGGCATGCTAAAAAAAAATCCCTCACTTTGAAGACCAGGATCTAACTTCTGATAACATCCCTGCTACTCGCTTATCCTCGAATGCTCCGGAAAACGATGCGGTAGCTGTATGCACTGGGTAGACAAAGACAGGGGTTATTTTTGTCCCTGCAGGAGCTTGCAGAGAGTCCCTGCGTGCTAGGCCAGGGTTGGGATCAATCACTCAATCAAGAAGTTCAACACTGAGGTCATTAGCTTCTCCCGGGACAGATTTCCATTGTGAAGAAGAGCTGCCAAAATTTGGTTCTAACGGACACCAGCGTGTATCCGTGATGGATGGATGGATGGATGGCTGCCCTAAGGGACGACTGAGGAGCTGCCACACTCAGTTCTCTTGAAGCTCCTCAAAGCTAGTTAATTAAAGTGATCTGGTCACTCTGGCCTTGCACCAGTGAAAGAAGCAGCAGAACGCAATACTAAAAATGCAGCTGTATTTTACCAAGCCGCAGCCCTAGGGAGAGAGCACTCACACCTTGCCAGGCGGGCCCATCGCTCCTCACGGAGGTTGCACGTGAAGGGCAAACAAACCCCCCGTCCTACATCAGTTGTGCACAGAGGCTTGTCCCACGTGTTTCAGCAGTTCCGAGGCAGGGGGGCCCTGATGTTTTTCATTTCAAAGCTACTGGTTGTTCACACCAACTGCCAGTGGCAGAAAAGAGCCAGCCCAAAACCAGCCTGAGCCCCAGCAGGAGATGGAGATCAGAGGGTGAGGCTGGCTAGATCCTCCCACCAACGACCAGCCTCCTCCTGCCACCTCAGCACCACCATCTCCTCGGCAAAACACGGGGACCACTGTGGTTTAGCCTCTGCCCCCAAGCACCATCAAGGGGATGTTTTAAGGAATCAAAAGGCAGAGCCTCTTAAAAAAAAAAAAAAAAAAAAAAGAAAAAAATAAAGTGTGGCGCTCATTGCCACTGACACCAGAGCCTGATTTGTCCATCTTGGCTCAGCTAATAGCAGGCTGCCGAGTGAGCTAACGAAGCCTGTGCGTAGCTCACCCCTCCAGATCCCATCCGCCCTCCCTGATGGGCTGGGGACACCAGTGCCACCAGTCCGCACATGGGGGTTCTCCAGTCAGGACACGGGCATGGCTTGGCCGGCTGCTGCCCAGCACAACAGTTAATAACCCAACTCCTCCTGCTTTTCCTTTGGGAAAAGCACTCAGCTGAGTCACTCTTGCTTGTAGGGACATCATACCCTTCCTTAATTCAGTTAACCAACAGGTGCAGCACAATACAAGTTTAGTTTCCCTAGATGAGCAGAATAAAAATTGCTTCCATCACTGAAATACAGCAATTTTGAAAGGGGATGAATTCCTACAAGATACCTGACGTGATAAAAAACAAACTCTCCCCTGTGGCCAGGTTTCAGGCACCTTTTTCAAGGTTTCCAAACCTCTGCTCTCCTTTCTAAGAGCCACATGTCCTGGACTTAAGCCTGCTGGACCTAAGCCTGTGTGGCACTGGGAAGGATGCAGCCTTCCACCTTCCTCAGGTTTTGGTACAACTGGTCACCATCATGAGACTGGATGCTCCTGGCCATGAGCCCTGTGCATGACTGAGGTCATGTGTTTCCAGGCACGGTCAGCTACAATGAATGGTTCCCTCCAAACTGGGTGGAAACCAGTGAATTGGTACTGCTATATTACCAAAACATAGCCTTTAAAACCCAAAGCAATGGTTTAAGTCCGAAGGTGAGCTTTTGGAGGGCTATGAGGTGGGACAGCTCTGCAAAGAGTTAAGGCTATGCATCTCATCTTCAAATGTTCTGCTCACCTTAGAAGAGACCACAGATTCAGGGCTTGTGCTGCCCATGCCCTGGAAAGTTAATTTAACACTAATTTCTAAATAGCGTTCCAGATATCACTGGAAGGGCACAGCGCTGTCTGCCTGTGTCTCTCTATGAGCAAACACTGGCAGGCTGGCTAATTATTCTGATGCTTGGGGGGGAAAAAAAAGAGGTAATTTACAGTAGATTTAGAAACCGCCCTCTCTTGCCAATTCGTGTCTGCTCCGACTGCAGTGAGAGCAGTTGGAGAGAGCTACGAACAAAGCCAACACGCTCTTCAAAGCCTTCCCTCCCTGCAGCCTGCACAATTTGCTCGGACACCAACAAAATCGCCCATCAGCCAGAACAAGAAACACAATCACAAAGGCAGCAGCCCTTTTTCGGCACTGTTTTTAAGTTTATCTCCATGGTTTGCTGTCTGTCATTACCGCTGTTTCCTTAATAAAGGGAACGTCATCAAAAGCTTGAGATAATAAGCAGTGAAATTAGTAAATGAAACAAATCCTGTGCTAATGAGGAGAGAAACAATTACGGGAATGGGAACTGTGTGTTCTCCCCGTGCTTACACCACATTTGATCAAAGAGCTTTTATGCGCTGTCTGATAACCAGTTTACCTTTCTCCAGTGAATTCCAGTGAGAAGGTAAAACAGTTGCAGCTGCTTGCTTTTTTTTTTTTTTTTTTTTTTTTTTTTCTTTAATAACTAACACTTGGTCTCTTCTGCAATGTCAGCTCCAGTTGAATCTGATGGCAGCTCACCCCTGGAAAGGTGGAAGGGGATCTACTCACCAGGCTCTCTCCTGAAGAACACAACACATCTGGCTGTACGGCCACTGCTGGAAACCAGGCAGCAGCGAGCTCCATCAGGAGCACAGGGCTCTGGACTGGGGAGGTCGAGGATCAGGTCAAAGGAGACAGGACCCCAAAATATGACTCTCATGAGAAGAGGAAATCCCAAGAAAGGTTTTCTCTCTCCTCCCTCATTACAAGGCACTGGGAAACCACCGTTTGCCTCCCTGTGGTAGCACAGAACAGAGCCAGCACGGTGGTTGTGCAGGCAGAAGAAAGCTGCCACTGATTAACAAAAATTACACCCTAGGCCTGTCTTGTCTTTCCCGATCACACAGGCGTGATATGCAGCTGCCTTTTGTGATGCCGAGAGGTGTCATTCTTAGTAGCAGAATAAAAGATCCTTGAGAAGACAGAGTGACAAAGAACAAGTAGGAAATGATCAAAGAAAGATGCTTTTTCCTCTCTGCCTTTCTGCAGGGAGAGCAAACACTTCCACTAACCAATACAACTCTTTTGCACTTGTCAATATGGCAGAAAAAATCAGACACTTAGGGAAACAGGAAAAGAAGATGACAGTGGCAGCAAGGAGGAGAAACAGCCACCTTTTTCAGCAAGTCGCATCAGCCCCCAGCTAAACTGCAACAGCCCTTCATGTTGACCTGTTCCTCCAGTCTTTTCTACCCAAGGAAAAGGAAAACCCTCCCTTTGCTGGAGCCAGAGGATTCTCTAATGGGGCTGCCTGGCAGTTGGGAAAGCAGTCTGACAAGCAAAAGCACATCAGCCACATACAGGATTCTGTGGATGAGCACAGGATGAAGAACTGGTCCCAGGGCTCACAGGCCTGCAGACACCCTGGCAAGCAGGGATAAGCCAACACAGGACCAGGGTAGCAAGTCCCTACGCTCCTCTTCAAATCCAAAAAAAACCCCCATTTCAATGCACAGCTCTGGAAGCTTTTTATTTATTTCCTTCTGGTGGCAGAGATGTTCAGTGCTGCTCCCTGCAACTCATAGAATAGACTCAACTCATCCAATGGAGAGAAGAGGAGATGGTAAGGGGAAGCCTGTGCACGAGGGTTACTCCAGTTAATTCCTTAATTCACTACCCCAAAGTGAAGTTATCCACAAAAAAAGCATCTTAGCTCGCTCAGATAATGCTCTTTTTTTCCCATCAAGCAAGAAGAAAGCTTGACTTGACAGGAACAGCTATTTGCACATGATGGTTAATACCACCACCAAGGCAGCAGCATGGCCATCTGCACTACAGCATTTTCCTTTCCTGTTTCGAACAAGATACCAGCCTTTTACTTGCCCTGTTGCTGTCCCTTAATTTAATCTCATTCAGTTTGTTGAGCTGCCAGTCAGCGTGCTGTAACATTGCTGACCCAACGCTGCTGTGAAATTTTCAATCAATAGCTTTTTCCTTTGAGCAGGGACCGTGATCTATAAGCCGAACTGCAAACAGCCACGGTTTTGAGATCAGCCATCGAATGGCAGACAGGGAAATCACAGCTCACCGTCCTGCAGCAATCTCCAAGCAGGAAATCAAAGCAGCGGCGTTGGCATCTTAGAGAAAGCAAGACTTGGGTTTGGGGCCACAGGTGAATGAAGGATGCCCAAGCCACCCCCCAGCTAGGCTAAGGGACAGCCGGAGCCAGTTCTGCTCTCAGATGTACCTGTGCAGTTCACCCTGGCGCCCGACCGCATCTCAAATTGAATCTCCAAACTTATTCAACCCTCTCTTCTGCCCACCAATAAAACTGCCAGGCAGCCCAGGGCACCAGCAAAGGGCAAAGCTTCAGCTGAGGCAGCGAAGCAGCGCCGAAGGAGGCACGGGAGGGCACGGGAGCAGCTCGAGCTCATCTCGCCCGCCGCAGTGCTGCTCCCGCCCGGCGCGCTCAGCATCACGGCGCTGAAGAGCCCTTCTGGTAATGGCTCATTGAGCTGGTTCTCAGGATCTGCTTCCCCCAACATCTCCACGATATCAGCAGCTGTCCTGAGAAGCCGGGATGCTCACCATGGGGGTAACTCGACCCTATGGAGTCAGCGGGAGGGACCACGGAGCAGCAGAGCCCATCTTTACTGCAGGGAAAGAAACCATCTCCGAACCACCTTATCTTATTGTTCCATTTATTGATTAGCCACAGTATTTGCAGAGATTGCCGTGGAGGAGGAGAGGATTTATTGCCCAGTCCCATCCCTTAGGGCCGTGAGGCAATGGAGAGGCAGATACACCCTGCAAACCCCTCTGGGTACACCGCAAGCTGCCCAGGGGAGGGAAGGAAGGCATGACACCAGGACGGTGGTACCTGAACAGCTCTGCAGGTCAGTGCCTGGTGTGAGCACACAAAACCCATCATTTATATACCAGTACCACCCACCCGAGGTGGCTTGCTCTCTGCAGAGATGAAGAGCAGGTCTTCATTGTGGAGTCAAAGCAAGCTGCCCTGGGAACCCCCAATTCGAGGTTATATTTATCCCCCAAATAGCTGGAAAAGCAGCAAGAGGGAAATTCAGCCCCCCTCCTCCTTAGCCCAGCAGGCTGAGCCTCTACTCTCACACACTGCCTGATGCTTTATCCACGGACACAATCACGTCCACAGTGCCAGGTCTGGGTTAAGCAGCCTCAGAAGTTGGACCCACCTAGCATGTTGAAGAACAAACAGCCTCCGAACCCTGTTTTCAAAGCCCCTCACAGATCCCCCCCCTCCAGTGGGGAGCACATCCCACCCAGCCTCAGCCCACAAGACCTTCCTGGCTGCATCAGCCCATAACCCAATCTCCTTCGGCTGTGCAGCTTGTCACACTATGCAGCCTCCATGAATTAAACAGCCTTTTTCTGCAGCTAGTCTCCAGAGACACTCTGCAATGCGACGGAGTTCACAGACTCCATAGGTTCACAACCCTTACAAGTAGATTTTTGTGCAACAACCCAGCTGGTTTGACCACCCCTGCCGTAGGTGTGAAACTCACCTCACTGTGAGCAGTTTCAGGACAGACCTCACTCCCTAGTCTCTATGATTAACAGCAGCTTGACACAAAGCAAATGCAGATTTAACGGGGAAAACATAGGGAAATCCATGCCCTTTCAGGAGCAAAGGGCCACAGGGTTTTCTTGATTGCAGAGCTCAAAAAAACCATGACTCTTAGAGTTAAATGCCTTCCACAAAATAAAGGGAGAACTTGCGAAAATGATCCAGACTCATTTCTGCTTAAACATCTATGCAAATTCTCTATTTTACTGAGGAGTCCCCCAGACCAAGGCTCCTCATGCTGCACCGGGATGGAAAATCTTGCTTTGTCAATCCTATAGTGATATGCAAATGATGCACATAAAAATCAAGTCACAAGCTGCTATGAACCAGTCATTTTTTTCTGGCAAAGAGACCCACAGATACTTACCATCTCTGCCCAGAAGAATGCAGGGATGACAGTCTGATTGGAGAGGTGGAGGGTTTGGGAAGCATCTTGTAGAACTTGGATACTGCCGAAATTTATCTTACTTGGATGTACGTAGACAACTGGTCCTTCTCCAGTGCTCACTAAATGGATTTTCTGCTCCAGGAAGCAGGTAGGAAAGATCAAAAAAAACCAACAGGAAAAGTTTAAAAAGATTAGGCAGCTCTAAGGGTACTCCTAGACTGAGGACATTTACAGCTCTTTGAAGTTTTCAGTGTTATCAGACTGAAACAGAAAGCCTGGAGCAAGAGTGGGATCTGGTGGGATCTCATCTAAAAGCCACAAGCCCCCTGTATCAGGGGATAAAGGAAACCTGTTTCCCATGCTTGCTTTTTCACACCTCCTCCACATTGTTAACTCTCCTTCCTCTACCTTCTGCTTGCTCCCACTCCTTTTACTGCTAAATCTTGCCCCAAACCACCCTCCCTGACTTCTGCTGCTGCACTGCCACACTTGGACAGTAACTTCTTTAACGTTCCCAAAGCTACACCCGTGAAAACCAGCAAAAGTCAGGAGCAAAGCAGGCCTTTCAGAGTAGAGATCACACAAGTTAGTTGCCTCTGATTTGTGCTTATGTGTATTCCTGGTACTATTTGAATAATGGGCATTAATTATTAATCCCATCATTCAAACAGTAGCTTTTTCTTTTGACAGTCTGAGACCCAAAAGTTTTGTCCCTGCAGAACTGGCAGACTATTGGAGGAGAAATGTGAATCCCTGTGCTAAACTACCTTCTCACATCATGAAAACCAATGAGGATTTATCTATCTAGTCTGGCTGGATTTCCCTAGTTCTAAACACCCCAACTCCTAAACAGGATCTGAACGCATAAAGCTCCCAACACTGACAAGATGCTATATAAGTCACTGGAGGGCATGGAGTATGATTTAACCACGAAAGAAACCAGTCTCCATGATGTAAAACCTTTAACGGTGTCTGACTCAAGGAAATGGCATTGACAGCTGTCACAACCACTAGTCCAACTCAGCCAGAAGGAGCAGCATCCAGAAATGCTCATCTCTTGACAGGACGCCGTGCAAGAGCAAGCCAAAAAGCACGTACCATGGCTGGTACCTGAAAACTCAAGAGCTGAAGCCATGCATGATGATGGACCTTTTTTCCCTCTGGGAGAAGGGAGGCACAGAGAACTGCAGTCTGGGTGACGCTGCCTAAAGCTCCTGGGAAGGAGGAGCTGGAGGGAAGAGCTGTGCCTCGCTAGCTGGCTTCACTTCCAGGTGACAGCAGGGCAGAAGCAGCAAAGGCAGGGCAGAACCCTTTGGAGATGAGCAGGACAACATCTGGAGGATGCCCAGGCAACCTGGCTTCAATTAGAGTGTGTATGAACACAATATATCCTCTCAAAGGGAAGGGCTTTGTCTACAGTCTTCTTAAAAGGGACAAGGAAAACCCTGTTCGACAGAGTTACAGGTATTGTGACACACGGGGAAAGGCAGTAAAAGGAGATGGCAACTTTGCCATCAGTAATATTGCCACGCACACACCTCCCCAGCAGCACTGCTGGCTTTGTCGATGGGTATATAACGTCACATCTGATCACTCAGGAATGAAGAGCATCTGTCTCTGGCAGGCAGCCGTGCTCTGAGCGACCGCTTCTTTTGATAGCAGCCAGCTGCCAAATCCCCTGCCCTTGCCACCAGTAACCCCAGGGCTGGGCTTCACCAGCTCCTTAATGCAGGAGATTACACACACCAAATTGGAGCTGGCGTGCAGCCACCTGCAAACAAAATGCCAGCCAACAGGCCCAGGGAGGGACTCTCTGCGACCTGGATGAAAGATCTGTCCCACATTCCACCTGAAACGGCGCAAAGGCTCAGGATCAATACCAGACAGCATAACCTAGGTCATCAACAGCAAGCTCATATTTTGCTTTATTGGAATACACCGCAGCAATTCCCGAGGTCAGATTTGCATCGTATGATCCACAGGGGTGGGATGTGCCCCCAGTGCAGGATGTATAATGTGACCTCTAGCTGTTCTGCTTGCCCTTAAAGCTTTGGGTGAATCAGCTACTAGGGAATCACTGATATCACATGCAAACTGTAAGGCAGACCTACAGAAAAAGCCAAGAATCTTTGCCCGAAAGCCAGAAACTCAGGTCTGTGTTGTCGACAGACCCAGCGAGGTTTCTACCAGCCCTTGCTGAGTGCCAGCAGCAACAGAGCATAAACACTGTACATTAAAGAGCCACTTCATGGGAACACACACACACGCTCAACCTCATGCTAGTCATTTCTTTAGGGACAGCCAGGGTTCTCCAGCTGAAACGCTCGTCCTTTGAGTGAAAGACTGATGTATTCATCTCCAGATAAAAGAGATTAAGGAAAAGTTTGAAACTATAAATTGTTAACCCGAGGGTAAGAGTTTTGCAAGAAACCTGTAGTTAAAAAACAAGCTGACAGTTAGACAACTGGTTATTCTAGTGGGGAGAAACCCTCCTTTTTAAGGGATGCATGCCTTATATTTATGAGCAACTGTTTTGTCAAACTTCAGACTTCCCTGCAAAGCCTGCATTGCCTTCCTGTTGACTGGTTTACATGCACAGCCACAACGGCCTGGCTTGAGATGTTCAGTGGCATCCAGGGGATTTAGCAGCATCATTTCCATTTGTTTTATTAAAAGTTTAAATCCCTGCGACTACTTTCAAAATGTCAGCCTTTCTTTCTGTTACAGAAATCCTCTGACATCCTCTTTCATGCGCAGAGAGATGAGAAGACATTTTAAAACAGCTGCTTCAGAAGTTAATATCATTTTCGATTAAAGTTTAATTAACTAAATTTGTTCCTGATTTCAGCTAGATGAAGCCAGGACACTACCTACAACATTCTCTTGCCTACATTTCACTGTCATTGCTGCTGTTGTGTATGCCTGAACACGAACGTCATCTTTCAGAAGGCTTTGGTTCGGGAACACTTTGCCTCATCCATTTCCAAGCTTGGTAGAAAAAAAAGTCTCTGTTCTCCAGATGCAAGCAGTGTGGAGACTCATGAGTCTTTGGCTGGGGCTTTTGGCAAAGAAATATGACGGATATTTCTCCGACGTGATGAGCCTGACTTTCAGCATGGTTTCTTACACAGCAGTTGTTTTAGCAGGATTCGGGGATGTCCCTGTGTGCTCCTGAACAAAAATCCTAATGAAGTAGCACTTGCTGTTCATCTAATAACACAGCAGAGTATGAGACCCAGGGGTTGGTTCCGGGTTTCAGGCTGGGCTTGTTTTCTCGTCTCACCTATCTGTAATTAAATGCTGTGTCAGATACTTAGACTGCCACCTGAGAGGATACCATCGTCCTTCTTCTCCAGGCATTAGCTGTTGCTTACGCCATGAATCCCTTCTTTCCTTGTCCACACCAGCCACATATTACGAGTGCTTCTTTTCCCAGGGAGCATCCCTGGAATTAGCAACCCTGCCAGAACATTTGCACCCCCCCCAAGACGAGATGCATGAAGGCCCATGTCCCCCAGCACTCACCAGAGGGGATCTTTCATTCCCAAACACCACGACATGAGCAATGGTGTCCTGCTCTCCCACCACCTGGGCTTCCAGCGTGAACGGGACCTCCACTGAGCTGTGAGGCTGGACAATCCCACACGGCGCCCGGCTGGAGTACCACACAGAAGCCTCCTTCTTGTGTTTCTGTAAGCGACACAATCAAAACGCCACACGTGAGTGACCTCTGAGGAAACTTTAAACTCCTTAATGCCTACCACAATGACAATTCACACACATTTTTAAAAATCCCCAGGGAAAAGAAGAAAGGTACAAAACAAGATGCAAGACCTGTATGGTCTTAGCACCCTGAGGGGGTCCAAAAGCTGCTGCTTCCACAAACACCCACTCCTGTGCTGGCAGTCTCCTTGCAGCAGCTTTTCACAACCCTCTAAGTTCTCCTGCATGAAAGCACTGCAAAGACTAGAATATAAACTGCTTCCTAAAGTTTCAACCGCTATCTAAAGTTTATATTCAGGTAAGTTGCTATTCTCAGCAAATCTTTAGGTTGGAATATAAACCAGCAAGGTCTTATCCAAAACCCCCTTTTTTCCCTAATCAACCCCCTGACAACAGTTGAGGGCAGGAGGTGGAAGCGATGCCAAACCTGAGGAAGAAGCTGGTAGCAGCCTGGGAGATCGCTGTCGTTCACAAGGGTCAGCATCTGCTGGTAAGGGAATTTTAGAAAGCACCGTCCAAATGTCACGATGGGGTTGAGCACTCGCAGCGGAGGAACTATGCATCTAGGCAGAGAGATGACCAGAAGGGAATTAAAGATCCTGAGAGAATGTAGAGTTTGTTTACTCCCCAAATAGCGTGAAATGGAGCATAACACATTTGTCACTGTCAAACAGACACTTAATACCCCTACAGTGATAAATCACCTTTAACTTCTTTTTACTCAACCACCTCCTGAAAAGGAGGGGCAAACCCTGAGACTCAGCCTCAGAGAGGCTGCCAAGTGCCCGGGCAGAGCACGGTGTGCTATCCCAGAGCTGCCTGATCAGCTTTGCCCCTCCTTTGCCCCAGGAGGCTTGGCAAGGACCCTCCCAATGGTCCCCAGCAAGGTGTGAGCTCTGGGGGAGCATTCCCAACAAGGACCGGTGCTCCCTGAGGCTCAGGGAACGCAAGACTCCAGTATCTCAGTAAAAATAACCCCCTCCTCTCCCACACCACTGTTGCCCTGCCTGAACTCAGCCGTTTGCCCCAGCGACGGAGGGCACGAGCCCCCGCCCGCCTTACGCGGTGGGTGATCGCCCTCTCCCAGTTCCTACAGCTGCCTCGGTCCTGCACCCCCGTGGATCCACGCGCTCTCTGCTCCCATCTGCGCTCGTTTTACAAAACTGCAGCCCTGGCACTGACTGGATGACTCTGCCTGCGAGAGGGAACGGCACCAGCACGCTGCATCCCTCTTGTAATTAAACTGACACCCACTGCAGCACAACCGGATTGAATCTGGCTGCAGCAAGAACAACTTTTGGCTTAAGTCTGAGAACATTAATGCTCAAAAGAACCAGAGGGAAGGAGAGAAACCTGAGCTCACCTTCCCCTTCATAAGTTTTTATTTTTGATTTTCCCTCAGCACTCCTGCCATAAGCCCCTTTCCCATTTGCACGTGCCTTCATTAACTGAACCAGACACCAGCTCTCAGCAGGCTGCTCATTGCATCCCAAACGAATGTTGTATTTTGATGCAACCCAGCACAAGTCCACCACTTGCAGGAAGGAGGAGAAACGGCCCGTTGGAAATCTGTTATACCTCGAGCACCAAAAATCCGGCCAATAGTGAATATAATTACTGTTCCCTTCAGAAAAAGGCTCCGGGCCGTGCGGGTCTGTTGAGCACAGGTGCTTCTCAACACGTGCTGCTTCCAAAGCACTGCTGTTCTCATACCTCGCTGGGCAGAACTAGCTCATTAAGCAACACTCCTCATTTGGAGACGGAGCCAGCAAGCTACGTGCAAGGAAACCTCGGCGAGGAAAGCGCCGATACCTGGCTGTGAGGAGCAGCGCCAACACCTCCTTGCCAACACCGTCCACATCCACCACCAGCGCCAGCTCGTAGCTCTTCAGAGTGTTGGAACACAGGGTGACCTGGTGGAAGAGAAGAGCAGCAAATACTTCATCGCTCCCAAAAGTTATTGTCCATGTGTGGTGTCCTCTGGTTCTCATTCCACGGGAAGGAAAGGAAGGATTTTGCCCTAATTCTTCTGCTGGCCCACGTACAGAGCACGGTCTCTGGGAGTAACAAAAGTCCTCTGACAAGACCTGCTTTGTTAAACACACCTTGCAGTTATCAGGGCATATGTAAGCTAAATTAAAGTACAATCAGACTAATGCTTTACTCACCACTATTCAAATTAAGGCAATAATTTTTAATCTTGACTACAATAGCACAAATCCAGAGGCAATCTGTTGACTTCAACAGAAGGAGTTCAGCTTGACGGTGGGAAGCTGAGGGCAAAATAGGGCCCAGCAGATGCTCTGCAGTTCATGGCTGCCAGAGCTTTTTCAGTCCCCACTGGAGATCACTGCAGTGAATGCAACTCATTCTGCTCAACAGGAGAGGAGAAATAAGACCGGGGAGAAAAGCAAATTGCTTTATACAATGGTATCTCTCTTTTAAACAGCCACCTTCCACCCTCATCCTTCCTCTGCCCGCTTCAAATCAAAGAAATCCCTCTAAGCAGCTCTCAAAAACATAGGAACGGCTTCTGTACTCAACCATACGGTACATGATCTTCAGCTTATGATTTTGGAAACAAAACAGTGCTCCCTCAGAAAAGTCTCAGAGCCACTCAGCTAACAAAAGCCTAGCACTAGCACAGTTATCTCACCCGTGCTATGCTCAAAGCTAGCGGTGCTAAAGCCCTCTGACACAGCAGGGAAGCTCCAGCTCCCCCCGCTGCAGCACGTACGGCTGGACTCTTCCCATACCTGGATATCCAGGACTCCCAGGGAGCGGACGGTCCCTCTGCAGGGCTTTATGGTAAATTCCCTTGGCTTGGGGCATCGTTGGGCTCCCTTTCTCCAGGATGAGCCAGTGCTGCCTGACATCTGAACAAAACTGCTAGCACTGGGCTTTCCCGAGCCATCCCCAGGAATGCGAAGGCTGAAGGTCATGGGCACCAAGGAGGTGTTTGTGAGGCGACATGGCAAGGTGTGAGGAAAGCCTAGGAAAATGACACACATATGAAGTCATGCAGCAATTATCCTGTGGTTGCTGGTGTGAATAGCCTGTTAGGATAAAACTGCGCTTGGAGTTTAGCCCTTTTCAATCTGAATTACAGCTGCCTGATAAGCTAAGCGAGGAATTAATCGTCACTTAAATTCCCTTTTCTGCTGATCACAGAGATTGCTTCCTTGGAAATGCCCACTCTTAGCGATGCTGAACAACAGAAGTTTCTCTCTCTCTGTGAGGAGCTGTTTTACCTGCCCCCAAACCAGCACCAATTATCTCTCACTTACGAGTGTGCGTTCAGACAGACCATTCATTCTGAAAATTCCGTCTGTAAAACGCCCTGTTAGCTCCGCGAACACTCCCAGAGTTTTCAATGTATAAAAGCAGTGTATTGTCATCGAGGAGAAGCTACCACAAAAAAAAAAGGAAGGATGAAATTGGGAAAGGTAGCATGACGCAAAGCACTCTAACACACTTTTTCTCTAGGCAGGATCCTCAAGGCACCTCCTGTTTGGGGGTACAAGACCAGAGCAGGTGACAGCTCGCAGCCCACTGCACTGGAGGCAAACCTGATGCTTGCTTAGAAATTAGCAGGAGCCATGTGTCACCTTCCCTAACGAATGGGGACGTCACTTCCAGGCTGCACATTGGCTTGGATTACTGCCCGCAAAGGCTGACATCACTTTAGCTTTGATACCTGCTTGCCATAATGGAAAACCAGTGATCCAACCGCACCTGGTGGGGATGTTTTGCAGAGACAAGGAGTGAGCCCACAGCTCACTCTGGAGTGGACATCTGGCTTGGGTGGCCAGCACTGCGAGGAGGAGACACCACCCGTGGCCTGCTTAAGGGTCACTTCGGTACAGATGGGGAGGAAAACCAACCGCAGACACAGCAGGGAGCTTCTTCACGCTGATCAACAGTGACCACTGCCCACTTCCAGCAACTACCCCAGCAGGGAGGCAGGAGGGGCACAAAAAGGACAAACACAGGCTTCTCACGATCCCAAACGAGACCGAAGTCGCCAGCTGCAGACAACGCTCAGCAGAACAGTTAAAAGAAGCAAAAATACAAGAGCTGCCTTCAGCTGAAAAGGGCTTATTAATGAAATGAGATTAAGTAGGATGAACTTCCTATAACATCGCCACATTTCTGCCTGGTGTGTTTCTTGTTTTATTTACTCAAAAGGAAATAAGTGGCAGAGTGGTGGTGTAGGGAGGGGAGAAGCAGCTCAGGAAAGGTAATGAGTTTTCTTAAAAAGTCCACGAACAGCATGAAAACACAGAGGCATCCTGGGCACAGAATGATAACGGCCCTTCAATCAATCCACAATTGATTTCACGTTTAAACTTTAGATCATCAGAGTAAAAAGCCTTTTGTGAGACTGAGATGGAGAACCAGAATCTGCATTTCAATGGAGACGCTCTGGGTGCTGAGCCACCGGCTCTGTCAGCAGGGCTGGGCTTGTGGTGGGGAAGGAGAAGGAGCCCTTGTCTCTGAGGCCATCAGAGCCTGATTCAGAGCTACTGCTTGGGCACAACACCTGGTAGGTGACAAGGAGGGGCCCTCACAGCATTAATTAGCATCTCACACTAAAGGCCAGGCGGGTAAATGGTATCCTTGCCTTGCCACAGCAACATTTACCCACGCAGTGACAGGCTAGTACATGGCTTAAACTCCCTCCTCCTGCAGTCCCATCCCCTGCACCCTGCTGGGACAAGGACTCTCACAGTCACTCTGCTGCCAAGGATTGGGAGGCTGGGGCTGAACAGACTGTGAGGACACCAGAAAATACTGACTTTCCATTCCTTTGGTCCTATTTGATTTTGTGGTGGCACAATAGCAACTAAGCAACCATCAGCCCTGGCTTTGACACCCTGAAGGCTGCTCGGAAGGAGCACAGATGACAGATGATCTGACGCTCAGGTGCTCCGTTTTGGTAACGCACAGACCCCTCAGCCCGTGCTCCAAGCCCAGGGCACACTCACCGAAGGAGACATCACCGAAGTGGAGGGCGGGTACGTCGAAATGAAAAGTTGGTCCAATGACACAGCCCCTGCAAGGACAGACAGGCAGAGGAGGCGTTGGCTTGCTTAAAGAGAATTGCAGTGTGTCCAGCTTTCCTTACCGCTCGGGCTGGGTGAAAGCCACTCTCGGAACCACCGTGGGTTTCAAATCAACCCCTCAGCCTTGTGCTCAGGCCGACAACTGCTCGTGTGGCTCAGGGCACCGTGGCAGGCAGGGTGTGCCCGCCGAGTTGCTGCCGGCCCGATGAAGGACCCTGAACAAGCGATGGCTCCGTGCCTCAGTTTCCCCATCTGTAATCTGAAGCTCACAGAGGTGTCCACACAAAAGTGGACTCACTGCAACAAGCCTTCCCAGCCACAGGTTCCCCGCTTTGGCATTTCTTAGCCGGAATTGCTGTTTCCACGGAGTATACGAACATCTTTCCCAGAAGACCTTGACCCATTCAATCATTATGCATGCAGGATTTTGAGGCATGAGTCCAGGGGAGCCCCAAACGTCTGCTGACAAGAGCAGCATCAATTCTACACAGCGGACAGTTGAATCTTGGAGGAAAAGTATCAACTTGTCACCGGTGCACTGGCTGACACATCCAAGAGCAACATGTCTTAATCCGCCGAACACGAGTGTCCTGAACCCACCACACCACCTTGCCCGTCCTAAAATTCAGCCGACAGGCTCCAAGTTCTAAAACTCATCAACAGCCACTAAAATCAGCACTTGAAGTTGCACAACATTAATTCATTTACTACACGGTTGATGCCAATCAACGCCAGCTCTGCCCCTTAGTTAAAAACCAAGGACCACAGCGAACAGTTCCCTCTCGTTTTATTCACAGGACTGTCACCGGGTCTGCTCTGTGTGGAACAGAGCCCAGCATCCCTCAGGAGGGACCTGTGTTCACCCGTGGTGTCCCACTTCCAGCAGCCCTTTTTAAACACCAAAGAAAAAAGCATTCAGGACCTTATGAGGTTGGTTTCCAAGTAAAGAATAATCACCTAGGGTTTTGGCATCTTCTGATTGCATAGTCAAAAAGCACTCAAAAACTGACTTTCAGGAGTTTCAATCCAACACTAATTCTCGATTCTTGGAGCTGAATCAGCTCCTGAGAATAAACTAGGTAGTAAATCCCTGCTGATGCTGAAGTTCCCTCTCCAAGGACCTCACATTAATCAGATTTGACCTCCCAAGCCCTAACAGCTTCCTTTGGACGGCGCAAAGGGAGCAGACACGCTTTCTGTCACAGCACTTGCCAGGAAACGATGGAAAACTGTCTCCAAACCAACCAAGACTGGGGATCATGCTGGGAAACTGCCAAGGATGAGCTTTGCCGGGCAAGTGGGGAAATGACTGCCATTTCTGCTGCGTGCACCCTCTCTGTGCACAAGGAAATTAAACGCGAATAACCGCCCGAAAGGCTCCGGCAAGGGGCCAACCCAGAGCTCTGTGCACCACAGCTGATAACAGTACAGCCTGCAAGAGAATGGGGGAAAAGGCAGTGGCTTTGTCAACAACTGTGTTTTGCAGTAGCATTAAGTAATGCACTTGTGAAGGAAGATCAGGGTCCTTGCAGAGCAGGAAGGATGACACAAGGCGGGAGAGAAACCACTTGAACTCTCATCCCTGCTCCTTCTTTTGCAGCCCAGTGTCCCGCCAGCCAGCTCACCTCCATTCAAAAGAACTGGGAGTTTTCCTCCATGGAGGACTAAATCCAGTGCACAAAACCTCCCAAAGAGGGAGGCTCAGCTTGACCTGGTGGCTGGACATCTCAAAGGCATCTGAAAACAAACAGCTTGAGTTGTGGGGCTGGGAAGGGATCCTTCAAAATGGCAAGACAGAACTCAAGGAGGCAGGAGCCGTCTCAGGGAGGAGAGGACTGCAACGGGAATTACTGCTGAGGGACAGCTGCTTGGGAGCAGGTGGGTGTGCTGAGGCTGCCACCATCCAGGAAGGAGGAGTACAAAGATGGGGAAGAAATAAATAAAAAAGGACCAGCAATCCTCTTTCATTGAGACAGGAGGTCTGCACTGAGCTCAGGGTGGTGCTGGCCAAACAGGGCAGAGAGTGGTCCCAGAGAAGGGGAGGATGTGCTGGGCACTGGGAGCCAGGGCATCAGTGGGGAAAAAAGGACCACTTCCTTTGGCTGTGGGGAGGCCAAAAGACACCCATCCCGCTGACAGCTCTTTCCTTCCCCAGGAGCAAGGCCACGGCGGGACAGAGGCAGCGGGCCCTGTGCAAGCAATACTGTATTCTACCTGCGATAAGCACATCCTTACAAGCAAAACATGCCCTTGCTCAAGGAGAAAGCTGCTTATGCAATAACATCCCGTGACCAATTTGGGGGAGGGACAGAGGAGAATAAATTATTTGATTGTGAAATGTTCCCTCTTGAGTTCTAAAAAAGGCAGCACTTTCCCTCCAAACACAAAGCCAAGTTTCTCTACTGAGGTCAACAGACCTACTCACCACTCCTCTCCTGCAAAGTAATAACCTTTTTGTTCTTTTTTGTCTATTTCCCTTATTGGTAAAATCGACTGCAGATTCTCTTCATTTTTTTTACTACCTCGATCTAATGCCTCCCAGCAGCAGCAGCCCAGGAGGCTGGCTGCCGAGAAGGCACAGCCAGCCCCAAGGCTCCAGAGCACCCAGCATCAGCTTTCCCAACTACATCACATCATCCCACCAGCCCGTGGTCAACACTAGCTGGGACAAGTTCACGTGCTGCTGCAGGCCTAAGAAGTGAGCTTTGCCTCTCCCGTCATCAGCTTTTTTTTTTTTTTTTTATCCCCCCTTCTCCCCTTTGCTTGGTGAGGATTCTCTTTTACAGTGGCACCAGCCCACGGGATGATACCCAAGTCCTTGTGACAGTACTTGCTGCAGAGCTCCCCATCTCCCATGTCAGCAATTTTCTGGCTGCAGAAAGGAGGCACCACAGCACTCGCTGCACAGGAGCCGAGAGGAGCAGCTTGTCCCAACACATTAGCCTGAAAGATGATGTGGAGGCTGCTGCTACCCATTTAGTATAGATTATTAACAGAGGATTTTAAAAACACTGCTTCTGGCTGCAGAATCACCCGGGCTGGCCCACCTCCAAAGCCCTGTTGGCTTTGCTGTGTGTTCAAGTGGGATGGCCCAGACCACCTACTGCCCAAGGCTGATACCATCACACTGTCTGCCATGGCCCAAGGGGAATGAGCTACCTGCAGGAAGGAGTCTCTCCAGTTCCAGCGTACCCAAACTGGGCAGCAGGCACCTCCACACCTTTCCTGTACACACTTTTTTCCAGTGTGGGGTCCTCACACAGAGATGAGTGAGAACCTGCTGCTGCCGAATTCGGTGCAAACAGTGTCCTGGAAAATCACAGAGCCACCCTGCCTCAACCATGAAGGCAAAGCTGCTTCCCAGAGGAACCCAAGGCTTGGAAAGTTAAACTGGCTATTGAAAGCATAGGAGTCATGGTCATGGGTGGCCCGCAGGTCGAGGGAGGTGATCCTGCCCCTCTGCTCTGGTGAGACCCCACCTGCAGTTCTGCGTCCAGCTCTGGAGTCCTCAGCACGAGGACACGGACCTGTTGGAGCACATCCAGAGGGGGGACACAAAAATGATCCGGGGGATGGAACAGCTCTCCTATGAGGCCAGGCTGAGAGAGGTGGGGGGGTTCAGCCTGGAGAAGAGAAGGCTCCGGGGAGACCTTATTGTGGCCTCCCAGGGCTTAAAGGGGGAACAGAAAAGATGGGCACAGACTTTTTAGTAGGGCCTGTAGCAATAGGATGAGGGGTAATGGTTCTAAACTAAAAGAGGGCAGATTCAGACTAGATATGAGGAAGATATTTTTTATGATGAGGGTGGTGAGACACTGGCACAGGCTGCCCAGAGAGCTGGTTGATGCCCCATATCTGGAAACACTCAACGTCAGGCTGGACGGGGCTCTGAGCAACATGATCTAGCTGAAGATGTCCCTGCTCACTGCAGGGAAGTTGGACTAGATGGCCTTTAAAGGTCCCTTCGAACCCAAACCATTCTATGATTCTATGATTTTCTCTTGCAGGTAATTACTCTTAATTTGCTGCTGCAATTGCAAGGTTCAAACACAAGTCAAGGTTAAGAAGCCTTGGCTCTTAGTCTTGGCTCTGATCCTAGCATGCGCACACTAAGACTTTAGACAACACCTTTTTTGCTCTGTTCCATCATAAAATGAGGCAGCCGGGAGGTGATTACCCAGAGATAGCTACAGATGTGCCCACCAAGCTCCTGCGACCCTCCTCACCTGATAGTCAAGGCCACAGGCTCAGGGGATCCATTCACACTGAACCTAAATTCTTCTGTGAACTGCCCCAGGATGGTGGAACTGAAGGAGATCCGGATGACTTGGAGCTCCTCTGGCAAAACGGTGCCCTCCTGGGGGAGGAAGGTGAAGCAGGAGCCCAGAACTGTAGCTGGAGGGACCAAGTTGAAGACAGCATTGATGGGTCCTTTGTTAAACAGGATCGCCTGCAGCAGCATGAAATAGAAATGGAAGCACATAAGGAATCTTCCTTTCTTACAGAAGGCTGATTTCTGATCAAGCAATTAACATCTGTAAAAGGCAGAAGATGTTGTGTGCTGCTGCTCGGCAGAAGCCAAAGAAAATACAACAGGACAAGTTCTGCCTTTGGGTTTTTAATGCAGTGATCACTTCATAGAAAGAGTCACTTGGGGTTTCTTCCACTGGCACAGAGCAGCCCACTTTGACTTGCAGCGCAGAGCACCACCAAGTTGATTCAGAGCTGTCCCTCAGAGCAACCAAAGGCAGATGCAGCATTACTAGTGAATCATCACACAACTGATTCTGCTCCCAACGAGTCTGATCCTGTCAAGAGCAGAACACGTTCAGCTTCCACTGCAGCCAAGAAGTTTACTGCATGGAAAAGACACCTCAGGACAGCACTGTAACCAACTTCAGAAGCATTCCCTAACTCCGCTACAGTATATAATTTAGGTTTATTATTTTTTACTCTCATGTGATGCTTCCTTAGTCTTTGCCCAAACACACACAGGTCAGGAAAGGATGAGCGTGAGGGGCATAGCAGCTTCATATGTTCCAAATTCTTTCTTAAATATTCTCAGACACCATTTAAGACTTCACCATTATTAGAACAAACTGCAAATTTAGAACCAGAATGTATTTCGTTGAACACTCGAGAGATCTACTGCCTCAAACAAGTGACACAATCCTGCAGCATTTGTTGAGATTCAGCTCTTTTCATGCTGGGCGAGAAATGCCCACATCGGCTGTGAGTATCAGCACGCTGTCAGTCACCAACAAACCTCCCCAAAGCAAAGCTGTAAAGCTTCTGATTGCTGCAGGGTGAAATCCTGCCATTTCCATGGACTTAACTATCTGCTTTGGATTTCTTTTCTCTAATTTTTGCCCTTGCAAAACCTGTCAGAAAAATTGAGACAGAAGCAGAGACGACCTTTATTTTTTAATTTTGCAGCTGCTGTTGAAAATATTTACATATTCAAACTCTGCAGTGGTAACCTGAAGACAAGTCTCTCCTGACATGTGTTTTACACCTTAATTACAAATTGCACTTAGGGATCCTTCACTGAGCTGAGGTTTACCTCCAGCCTAGATGCTTAGTACAGCACTAACAGTATCATCTACTTATTCACATCTTCTCAAGTAATGAAAATAATAAATTGATAGAGAGAGAATCAATAAAGTATCAGCATTAAAAATGCATAGAGAGCACAATACTTTAGTAAAAAAACACCTTAATGTGTCCTTCCCTGCCACAGTCAAGCTTTTGAAAGTGTCTGGCATGATGTATTGCCTCATTTTCTACCTCTTTCGATTGCTCTATCTTATTTTTTTACAGAAGACTTGACACCACTGAGGGGGAGGCAAATACGTAGAAAGTTCCTTTGTTTCATTTCCAGCAATGTTTTGCTTTTCATAGAGATGCAGCAAGTCTGAATAGTGGTGAGAGCCTGCTTGGCAAGGGAAAGCACTCCCAGTTTTGTTGCAAGAGACAGCTCTGGGCCAGGAGGCTGGACGGCTTTCCTCCAGCTCCCAGGAATCGGTGGGATGCACTTAACTGAAAACTGTTTGCAATGGACTGAAGTTCAAACACAGTAAATTTGCTCCAGCTGCTTTTTAACAGCCCGAGCACAAAGGTGCATTGCAACTAGGGCTGAAACAAAAGCCTCTGAATACTTACCTTTTTGACCCAGTGTTGCTTTCATGTGTCAAAGGGGTATTTTTTGGCGTGAAGCCTCCCAGTTGATCTCAAAGGGAGGCTGCCAAAAAAGCAGGGATTAGGGCTTCACAAAAAACATAAACACATTTCAGATGTAACCAGTTTCTGTGAAACCCCCCAAATTTGACTATTGCATCAAATATTCCATGCTCGCAACTGCTCGAGCTGTGAAATCCTGCAGGTCCACGAGGCTCACTGCTGCCCTGGGAGCCATCAGGATCCACCCCAAGCCCTCCGAACGCTGACTGCTCACCTCATAGCTGTTGGCTGATCCAACAAAAACCTTCCCGATGTCCAGCTGCTCAAAGTTGAAGCAGAGCCGGGGCCCTATGCCTTCCCCTTTGATGCACAGGGGCAGCCTGGTCTCACGGCCTGGAGAGAGATTTCCATTTCAGTTCAATAATTCCCTCTGTTGTCCTGGATTTTCCAGGCTGCCTCAATGGTACTCCCTGACTCTGGGCTGGATGGGACCACCTCTAGATGCTCCAGGAGAAGATACAGGACCCTTCTCTTCCCTCAGGAGAGACGCCTTGGGGCTGGCTTCTAATTTCTAACTGACCCCCTTGGACTGACTTTTAATTTAGCCATAGGTCTGCACCTGGAAAAGTGCTGCTGAGTTCAAAACACTATCTCTGAATTTCTTCCCACGTGCTTAGGTGAGCTCTGAAATCCGTTCAGTGATGGCACAAAGCTGAGGAGACAGAACTGAAGATAAAAACGCGCCATCTATACCGATGCAGCTGGAGACAACAGGACAGGAGCTGAGAAGAACGAGCCCAAGCAAGGCAAATCTCCCTGCTACCGGCGACGAGCACATCCGAGAGCTGCCTCGAGCGGTCAGAGCGCCTCAGCCACCGCCTGTGCCTAACACAGAGCTCCATACCTGGGTGCTCCAGGGCTCACCTCCTGCAGCAGCACCTAAATAAGACAGGGCTTCGTGATCTCCAGAGAGAAGCACTCACCTATTCCCACCATGACACCAGAGGCCCAGCTTCGTAAAGACACCTTACTTGAAGCACGCTCACTACTAAGATCAGATAAGACATAAATATATTGATAATACACACAGCCCTTGCTGCAAAGGGAATTGAGACTGCAAGGCTTGTAACTAAACTCCAAGATACTCATTTTCTTCTGTATGTCTGCTAAGGATGACGCAGTGCAGGATCTTTCATTTTGAAGGCTGTTCTGAACCACCGGAGCAGCCTAAAGTGCCTGAATCCTGGCTCCAATTTTGGCTTGGATCTCCCTGCCATCCCATTCTACTCTGGACAGAAAGTGAGTAGCACAAGGGGGAAAAGAAAGGCCCAGAAGTTGTATATAGCCTTCACCACAGTTTTTGTGCAAAAATATTCCTCTGTCCTCTTTTTATGTGATGCTCATCATTAATTAAAGATTAGGGATTGAAGGTTGATTTTTTTTTTTATTATTTTTTTAAAATTTGCTGCATGATTAGTCCAGAATGTCCAAAATGACTTCTCATTGCAAAGGGCAGCCCAGGTGGGACAATACAGTGACAAGATCACAACTTGAAAAAACCCTCCTAGAACAGCCTTTTCAACGACTTCTGACTTTTTGATCTTGGAACCATGGGATGAGGATGTTTGATAATGTCCAAAGCCAGAAAGGAAAAGCTAGGGAGCTTTTGTTGAATTCAACATTTTTTAACTGGATCCAGCCAAAGCCCAGCTGCCAGCAGAGATGAGAGTTAGGTTTCACAGCTCAGGCATTAATTGGAGGGCTGTGTGTTGCTATTTCACAGACACTGTAAAAGAGGCAGTATTGGGTGCTCACTGTCCAAAGATTTCTCCTTCTTGCATCAAGTGTGGCTTAGTTTTCATTAAAAACTCTAGGTTTAAACCAAAGCTCTTAGGAAATGGCAAAGATTTTCAAGTGACAGGCTTTTGCTCATGATCATGCTCAGACACGTGTCCCACGGCCACTGCAATCAAAACACCAGTGGCGGTTCCTCCTCTTTGCAGTAGGCCCTCATCCTCTCCCAAAGGTCTATGGAAACCATCCTTTCTTCTACTCCTACAATGTGCCTGAAGCTTTAGGAAATCCCAGAAATTTTGCCCTTCCTCCTTCCAGGTGAAGCTCAGAGTGGGCTCTTCCCAAAGGAGGAGCAGCAGACTAAACTACAGGCAGCATTCAGGAGAGCTGGGAGGGAAAAAAAAAAAAAAAAAAAAAAAAAAAAAGAGAGCACCGGCTCCTCTTTGCAAGGAGCTGGGGCTTTCTGGAGCATCCAGCCTTTGCCCAAGGCCTGGATACAGCTGGGCTGTGGCCCCTGTGACACTCCCACCATAACAAGCCCCAGAGCATGGAGGGGCTACAGCCTCCTTGTCCTCAATCCCAAATCCACACCTGGTACTGCAGAGCTAGAGTTGGGATCTCAGTAGGAATAATATCTTGGCACGTCACACAGGGTGTACAACTTGGCATTGCTGCCTTGCTTTCAAATAAATAGGGGTATAGGGGGCCCAACAGCACAGGGCTTTGTTTCCAAAGTTCGTCCTTCTCCTGGTTTTGGATACTCAGTTTCTTGTTCACAGAACGTCCCAGTGTTTTGGGAGTGGTTTTGAACACGATTCTCCACTGACCATGTCAATAAACAGTTTTACATCATGCAGGACAGTTCTGTTGCAAGGTAAGGGAGTGATCATCATTTGGGATTTTGTTTCTCCCTGCAAGTGTGGCTTAGAAAGGGGTTTTGCAAGGTGTAACCCAATACAGTTCTGTGTCCAGACAAACTGAAAAATGAATTTTAGGTGTCAGAGCCCCCCACCATGTGCTTCCTTCCAGCACTCAACACCCATGGCTTTATTTGCATGAATAACCAAGAAAGTTCATTTAGAGATTAAATATTTGCCAAGGGCAAATTTCAAACCACTTCTTAACTGCCAGCTTTGCAAGCTACGCAGTGCTGATTAGTTCTGTAAATCACCTGATCCAGAAGCATCTGCTGAGCAATTTATGGAGGCACCTGCAAAAAAAGTGGAGGCCAGCAAAGCCCCCTTCCAGTGGGGCATGAGATGCAGCTGCACAATTCGCAGTGCTGCGCTGGGGCAAAGCTTCCAAGCGCTGGGAGCAAGGGGCACACACCGTCTGCAAATGATCCTCCACAGGGATTTGTGACTGGCATGCACACGCATGAGGACGGCAGTCACGCTTCTTAGAGGAAACAAGAAGCAAAACTAATTGACTCCCTAGTTAAAGATCGCTGTTTTCTTCCTTAAACTCTTTTTGTACCCAGGGACCTTGACTCTGGGACAGTTTCCACCCTGACAATACAGCGATCAGCTCTGTTTCGTAAGGGAGGGGGGGAGCCAGGTGCATCATTTAAATGACCTCCTTGAGGTCCTCTTTCAAGGAGCCAGTGGAAGAGTTAAGTTCTCCCAAGGGCCCATCAGGATCTTTCAAGAGCAGGCTCCTCTTTCTGAACACAGATCGTTTGCTCAGCTCTGTTTCCTATACCTCCCAGACCAGCTCAAGGGTTGCATGCAAGTAGTTTTCCTGTTTCTCTGCACTGAAAAAGCTCTCCCGGCACAACTCCTGGAGATCCCTGCAGCAAAGCGATGGACACCCCCATCACCAGAGCAAAAATCCCGGAGAAAAAATTCCACTGAGCGAGGAATCTCTCGGGAGCAGCTTTTTAAATCAATCCCTTCCTTCCACAGCTCTAACAACTGCCGCTGGTGGGCAGGAAGACAGTTTGTTAACACAAGCCCTGGGTAATTACTGTAGGTGGCATTTGCCAAGTAAACCCTGTGCAATTACTGTGTAAATAAAAAGCTGTTTCCTGACATGTGTATCCTTCAGCTTAGAGCAGCAAGGAAAGCAACCAGCAGCTGGGTTAGGGATTTCAGCACGCTCCAGAACAGCGAGCCTGGCTGCTGTTGGACCAGCCCCGCACCTCTTCCTCTTAGATGGGGAAAAACCATCATGTTCCCTGGATGGAGGTCTCACAGTGATCTCCCACTCTTGAAAAACACCTTAAGCAGCCCCATGCAGAGACGGCGAGGAAGGACAAGGTAACCTGAACCACGCAGCTCACTGCAGGCATCCCCTGCCCCGTGCTAGCACAGCAAGGCAATCACCTCTAGAAGGACAAAGATGGTACAGCTTGGGTGGGCTCGTGATAACTGCTCCCAACAACAGACGTGGTGGCACTTCTGTAAGACAGGATGAGCATAAAGCCTGCCTGGCAGGCTGCTCGGACTCCGATTTCCCGGGAGGGTGTTCACCCTGCAAGCCCTGTGCACGGTACCTGGATGCATCATTGCCTCAGAGCCACGTGGTGACAGTTCCCACGCGGGGCGAGAAGCCCGTGCTGGCCAGAGGTGTCCTTTTGCAGAATGCCCACGCTCAGTGGGGCTCAGCCACCCAAGGGCTGGCAGTGTCAGGGTGACGGGAGGGGATCCAGGGCCTGCGAGCACATTTGTAACTCAGCTCCTACCACCTCCAGAGTTTGATGATGCACCTGTGTAGTAAAGGCTCCTCTCGGAGGTAAATGCTCTACAAGGACCTTGTGCTCATCCACTGGAGCTGTTTAGCTCTGCAGCTCTTTGGCCTTTACAGACACCTTGCAGCAGAGCAAATGCTGGCAAACCCACGGCAGGAAAACCCATCCCTTCATTGCCTTGGTTGGTCTGGCATCAGCGATCCTGAGGGCTGGCCTTGGACAAGAGACCACCTTGGGAACCACAGTGACAGCGGGCACGTGCCAGCACCCTCTTGACCACTGACCCTTCCTAGTAACTATGCAAGAACCGAGCAGGCTGGAAGGGTGTTTGTGCCTCGCCTTCACTGGGGCTAACAGAAGCAGGAGAAAGGAGCTGTACCTGAGATGTCACAGTAGACCATCTCTTGATAGACTCTGGCTTCTCGGGGTTTAAAGATCACATTAATTTCAGCTGAAGAATTTGGCCAGATCTCTCCCTCCTGAAACAGAAGCAGACAGCAAACCATTTATCTCCAAACATTACATTACTTGTTTGCAACCACAGCCCTGTAGCCTTGATTTAGAGAATCAATGAAGAGCAGGGAGCAAGCAACACCTATCAACAAAATTTGTAAGAGAGTTGGGAAGCAGCTGCAAAAAAACTTCCGAAGTCCCTTACCTTTACTGGCATCTGGTAGAGGCATTTTGTTAAAGTAGGGCTATAATAAAGCAACCAAACTGGCTCATGCTTCAGTGAATCAAGTAGAATTTCTGCAGGGGTACCAGCCCATTTAATGAAAAGGCACCTCTTTCCTCCAAACCTTCCCATATATCCACCCTGTATCGCTATGGCTACGTGAACACTTTCACTCACATCAGAAGAGACTTCGCAAATCAAATGGATTTTTCCATTCTTAGTTACGAAGGTCCTGCCTCTTATACCCTTCGCCGGTACGTGCAGGTAAATATTTCACACGCTCCGGTGAGCCGGGGCACTCAGCACCCAGCAGAACAAGCCCTCCTGCCTGGGGGTGAAAGGACAACAGACTCCTGCCCGCTGGTGGCTGCGTCCGCCCCGCGCCGTGAGCAGTCAGCCAGCACGCCGGCTCCTCTAGCTGACAGATGAGCTGCGAAAGGAGTTGAGAGGCAGATGCATCCCGTTTCTCTCTGCAAGGTGCACACACTCCTGTTTCCCTGAACACAGGCTCAAACAAGAAAAGATGGGACTTGCTTACAGCTCCACACCTCTTCGAACCAACAAGCTCTTTTTCTTGTCGTGCTCTTGCTCAGGGATTTCAGTCTGGGCCATGCTACCAGGGTGTCTGCAACTGTGTGCTGCTTTCTCGGGGTCTTCCCTCTCTGCTTTTCTCCCAGAGAGTCCTGGCACCGGCGCTCAGCCCCCGGGAGCCTTGTCACACATTTTCAGAGGCATGCCTGCTTTCTAAAGGCTCTCACTTCTTGCAATTGGTTTAAACAAAGACGCCATCCCCTGAACACCTAGATTACAACTGTTTCTTTGTGTATTTGTTGACATCAGTATAAGCACCTCTGACAACTAATAATATTCTACAAGGAATTAAACATTTAGCATATAGGAGGAGACAAAAGGAACAGAGTTCTTTTTCTATCAACAAAGTGAGGCTTTGATTCTGCGCGCTGCGGGGTATCCTCAGTACTTTGTCCAGAAGAGAGTCTTGAACTGACTGGAGCCTCCGGCACTCCTGCAGCATAAATATTAAATAACCATAATACTTTCCATCGACTTAGCCCTTAGAGCTCAAAGGACAGCCCCCACAAAAATGAGAGAGCTATGACATGATGAGTTATTGGGCTGCAGCTGCAAATAATTCCCTAACGCACAGCCTGCTCAGAGTCAACAGAACAGAGGGAAGAAAAGGTAGAGAAAACTGTTTCAAACACCAATAAACCAATAATAGGAAAAGGGAAGTCTGAAAGAATAAAGTCACTTGGATTCTTCTCAAAACCTAGAGCAAACACATTTGCCTGATCAAATGTACCTCATGTTTCTATCCAGCAAGCAACTGAATGAGAATGAAGCCTTGCTATATGACAACACACTTGCTTGAGGAAGCAAACTGGGGACATCAACCTGCATCCCAGAGTCAGTGTTCCAGATATCAGAGCCCCCGCGTCCCACAGGGATGCTGCATAGACTCACAGCATCCAGAGAGTTATCTTGGATTTACAGGAATAAAAGCATCTGAGGTGTGTCGAACAACATAAGCTCTGCTACGACACCTGGAGCTTGCCTAAGCCAAGCCACTGAGAAGAAACACCCAGATGATAGATTTCCCTGGCTTGGCTAATTAGAGCCCAGTGCTCCTCACTCAGCTGCTTGCTGTGTGCTCAACAGACTGAATTCAGTGGTCTCACCCTGAGCACACCATCCCTGGGGAGAGGGGATGCACTAGGCAGCTGCTTGCCTTTGCTTCAAGCCCAGCAGCTGAACCCCCAGCTCAGCTCACCGGCGTTCTACGCTCCTCCATAAAGGGTGCTGAGTGGGCTGAGGTGCCCACGGTGCCCTCTGATCCTCCAGCTGCTGCAGGCCTCTGCCCAGAGAGCTGCAGACAGCCCTTGTTCGCCTCCTACACGGCAAACGGTGCCACACCAGGCTTACCAGCAAATACTCACAGCTGATATGCTGCGAGGAGTGGCCGTGCTTGAGGTCTTCCTCTTGGAGAGGGGCAGCAAGCAGGGGAGGAGAGCACAGCCTGAGCCTTAAAACCAAAACAAGGGCTGCAGGAAAAGGGAGGGAAGTTCAGCAACGAGCGGGAATGAAATGAACCCAGTTTCAGAATGGCCACCCAGATCACTCCATTTGCTCTGAAGAGCCTCATGTGCCAGACAGCAAACTGCGGAGAAGGTGTTTGAATGAGACAGGACAGGACCAGTGAGCCTGAGGGTAAAAACTGATGCCAGGATTTGATTGTAGTTCTGCCACCAGGTTTATGTGGGCGGTGCACGGCCAGATTACCAAGGGCAGGCAGTTTGGCTCTTGCGCTGGCTCTCAGACAGACGATGCCCACCGTAAACTGAGCACCACATTTGCTGGGACTGTGTCAGTCCTTGCAAGACTTGGGGATCTATCTGAAAACGCAGAATCAGATTTTACACCATGTCATCATTTCGCGCCGCACTGGCTGCTCTAAAGCAGAGTTCATACGAACAAGAACGAGGTCTCAGAGCCAAATCATTCCTGGGAAACTTGGAGAGCATCCTTCCTTCCACCAAGGCCAGAAAGCAAACCACTTTGAGCCCAATGCAGCAGTATCAGTCTTTCAGGTCAGCTATCTAACAAAGCACTGTTTTGCCACTGACTTCTGCTGGATCACAAGCCGATGGTATTCACTGGTCTATTTTACGTGCCATCATCAGATATATTGGCCCTGCGGACACTTCAGGGCAGTTTGGTTATGACTCAGAGGTTGACAGAGGCAATACATCACCTGTTAACAGAGGCAAGCGCAACACAGTTCATAAGCAAAAATGAAGCTAAGCAGGAAAGGAAGAATATGAAAAAGAATCGCTGGCCTGATGAATATGTATCTGCTAACAACACTGCACTTTTCTAGCTGAGCAACTTTAGCTGACTTTGGGATTCGATGAACTCCAAGGCCAGCACATCTGTGACAGAAATATAACCAACATGGTGATCTTACCCCAGTGTTCTGGAGCACAATAACAGCAATCTATCACAGAGGCAGGGACAGGCGTGACAGGGCAGGGGACCTAGGGAGGTGGTGCGGAGCCAGAAGGCAGGGACAAGAGTGGGAGATCAAAAACCGCCCGCGCTTGATGCTCGTGATGGCTCCGTCTTGCTACGAGCTGCACCCGTATCACCTGTCCTGCTCTGGTCACTGTCCAGCTTCGGGTGAACAGGACTGGGATGGCAAGCTTACCTGTTCCCCACTAAGCTCTGGCAGCCAGACAGACTGATCTTCTGCATGTCTGAACCCTAACGTGACCTGCACAGCAACGATCCCGACTGCAGCGGTGAATACGCGCAGGGAGATGTTGCGACTACAGCAGTGAGGAGGTAATAGAATTTCGTAAGAAAATATTTCAGTAAATTCTACTTCCCCATTTTACAGCATATAGAAATGGAGGCACGGCAAGGCTTTCACCCACCGCTGAGTCCATCCAGGCTTCTGTGCTACTTCCAGTGCTCCTCTCAGCGCAGCGAGAACCTTCCAGGAGCCCCTCTGTGGCAGGGCAGCACTGTGAGCCCCAACTTCTCCAAGGAGGACCCAACGTATAAGGGCTGAATCTTCAAGGCCTGAATGCCCGAGTGTCCAGGAGAGATGTGGGAGTATTCACATTTCTAAACTTTGCATACCTACATCTACAGGGAGCCTCAGGCTCTCATTCCCCTTGGATGCAGAAGCTGAACAGCCTGGGTTCCCCATCAACTCGGGATGCCTGAGTTTTGTGTCAAAGGCAGGCAGTGAGGATACCCCTCCTCCCCATAGTAACCTAAAAACCTTTGATAGTCCTCACACCACATCTGTGTTGTGCTAGCCCCAGAAGTGCATGGCTACATGCTCTCTCCTAGTCCAGAGAGAAGCCTCTGTACTTGCCCTGGGCTCTCTGCAGACACTGAGCCTGATTTCGGGAGCTGCCCCATGGAGCAATCCTTTCCAGCCTCTGCAGCTTTGGATTAACCTGCTCTGGGACTTGGGACAACAGTGCCTACACTTATCCTGTCCTCAGGGGACAATTCCTCTTGCCACAAAACTGCCTTGTGCAACCAAGTCTGCTTCAATATTCTTTTTCTCTCCACCCTGAGACCTGTCCCCATGAAACCCTTGTCCCCAGCTAACCTCAGTCCCCAGCAGTCCCTACATGTCTAACAGGCACCAGGCAGCTGGAGCCTGGCAGAGCCTGCAGTGACACCCAGCCTTCTGCTGGCTGCCAGGGCTTGTGCCCAGCAGGACGTCTCAGATCAGCTCCTGGAGAGAAAACCGTGCCTGCTTTCATCTTTGCAGAAGATATTTGGAAACCACCTCGTAAACAAAGGCAAGACCCTGTCACCCCAGCCGGGACTCGCTGTCCAAGGCTCCCTCTGCTTACGGGCAAGTGGGCACAGAAGGCAGGAGAGCAATATCAGGGCTTTGCAATCTGCTCCGGCTGCCTGCTGGTCTCCACGTGGGACACGAGACGTTGCTCATGACACAGAAAGCCCTAGTTGCCCTGGCCTCCTCCCACTCCAGAAGCACCACTGCTGGCAGAAGGGAACCCGAAGCTGGGTCAGTGCCTGCACGGCATTTGTCTGACACTAGAATTTGATCCTGGCCCAAGATAACCCGGACTGAACAGCAAAATGGTGAACTTCCACTGCACCAAAAAAGTACAGCTTCAGCGAGAACCTGGGAGAACGCTGGAAGTGCATCACCTCCCAACAGCGAGGGAGTGGAAATGAGTCCCTGCAGCCGTTATTCAGCGCGACCGAGTCCCTGGTGGGACAATCTGCCCAGTACTGCCAAGACCACGGCGACTGCTGCAGCGTGGCTGGGATCTCTCTGTACACTGTATAACTGACCAGTGCGGGATGGAGTATAGAGCTCCGGTCCCGTGTCATTTCTTCTTTTACAACCTGAACAGATGAGGGTGCCGCACACAAACCCCCTTGCCAGGGGTGATGGCTTGCCATGCGCCGGGAAGCCCTTCAGTGATGCGCCACGATCCCGACAAGGGCCGTGCCTTCACGCATCAGAGGTGCTGCTGGATCCCAAGGCACCGTCAGATGAGACTCCTCTAAAGCACCAGAGGAAACCAACCTACGGACTAGTAATAAACCCCATCCTTTTCTGTGCATCAGCACAGCCCTCTGGAACAATCCTAGCGCAGCATTATTACTGGAGCCTTGCACTCGTATCCTCGCTCCCAAGAAAACCTGCAGCAGCAGTTAATAGACTCATGTCTCTTGAGCTCCTGATATGAAAACACCATTCTGCAGGCTTCAATGTATTTTGATGGAAACTTGTGGCACTACGTCCACAGATAGCTTCCCTGTATTAGCGGTAAAGTTATAAACCAGACCATTTGATTCCAAAGGTGGAAGGCAAGAAGAAATAATCAGTTACACTTTATTCTACTATTCCATGGCTAAAAGAAATTCTTTAAAGACATAACTATTCTGGGAAACTTTTGTCATTTCTCCCTTCATCACTGTTGTACGTCAGACTATAAAACTAGATAATATTGGGAGTTATTTCTCCTGGGAAATTAAAATAGGCATTTGAAGAGGTCCCTCACGTTCCTGCCACCCTACAGGGAAAAAAGAACTGTTGCTTAAAAGGCTGTGCTTCATTATCCACCCTTGCAGGCTACTGCTACCTGCCTACGAGCCTCGGGGCACCTCAGGAGCCAGCGGTCTGCCTGGGCTAGCATGTCCTCTGCGGGCTGGCAGTTGAGTCAGAGCATGGAAAACTACCATGGATGCTAACCTGGACAGACATAAAACTACGCAGTGCTGGGAACATGATACTGCAACACTGCTGGTTGAGTGTCAGCCTCAGACAGGCTGCAACTGGCAGGTGGCATAAAATACAGACGGCGGGTGTATATAATACAGCACAAGCACTCCAGCTGTTGTACCCTGGCTTTGCTGCAGCATAAAGCAAGGTGATACAGCAGAGGATGGCACACGACAACTCACAGCTACAGAAGTGAGCTCTCTGAGAGAGCCCAACCATAAATACATGCAGATCCTATTGCTCCTCCCTCAGCCCCTAAATAATGAGAATCTGCTGGATCTCCACCAGACTGAGTAAGAAAAAGCTGGTCTTGAAAACCTGGGCACCACCAACTGCTGGCCAAATCACCTACTCTGTTTTGCAGAGGGGGAAGGCAATCCAGGGCAAGGAGATCACTGCTCAAAGCAGTCAAAAAAATAAAAGACAGAGCTGGCAACACAAGTACCAAAATGACACTCAAAGGGCAACCAGTTAGTTCTCAAGGCACTTAGGAGAAAGGCAGTGCCAAAGCTAACATCTGCCTCTTTCCATAAATATCTGAGCCCACAGTGAGCTGTGGGATAGACCACAGCTCCCACTCGAGCTGGTGCCTTCTGCCAAAAACTGAAGTGCTCTGCAGTGGCCTCTCGTTTGGATAGGGACCAGCTTGGTTCCCCAGCTGAAGTGGACATTTGCAGGAACAAACAACGTTGTCATCTCCTGTCCCAACGTCTGGATCAACAACAGTCACAGCTTCATAACCTGGACTTGCTGAAGGCCACCTCCATCGGCTCAGAGTTAAGCACTGAGGAGTCACTACCAGGCAACGACGGGACAGTGATGACTTGTCAAGGTCAGTGCAATGGTAACAAATCCTTGTCCTCTCTTTCCTCTGGTTTCCATTTCCAAGGAGTCAGCTCCCACGTGTCAGCAATGTGACTTACAGCTAAGCTGTGGTGGGGAGGATACAGCAAAAAGCAAGGTCTTTGTCCTTTGGTAGCCACCTGGGCTTCTATCACAGCTGCCTCTGCTGACATATCATCTGTAGTTGCAAAAATAAACCAAATTTGAGATGTGCTCGGAAAGTCAGAGTTGCATAACAGCTTGTTTCCCACAGGCTTGGACGGCTGCTCAAAATGTTCATGGTCACATGGTAATTCCAAAATCACTGCCTCCTCTTTTTTTGTTAATATTTTCAGCAGTGAGTTAACCCTATCCAGGCTGAAGTAACCTGCTGCAGCTTCTACAGATAGCAACACCTGAAAACACTGGCAGCTAATGGTCCACTTACGCAGCAAAGCTGCTGCACAGACCCTGCAAAACCATCTCCACCAGCTTCCCAATCTCTGGAAGCAGTTATTTCCTCCAGTCACCTGTTACAAGGGTTTGACTATTTCTACAGGGTGCTCCCACACATCGTAGGTGAGAGGTGGGAAGAAGGGAGCAGCCACTTTTGGCCAGAAGGCCTGAGGCAGCAGCTTCGGGAGGCCTCTCCAGCAGATTTATGTGGCAGTGCAAGAAGGGTGTCTGTCCAAGCTAAAAGTTACAGGGCCATCACTGGAGGTAAGGTTGTGGAAGTCAGTGGCATGGAATTTTTTGATTCTACATTTGATGAAAAGCAGAAAATACTTACCAACATTTGATGTAATGACCCACGTGCCAGGGGGAAAGACAGACATGAGCAAAACTCTGAATGTGAAACTGATTGTTCCATAAATAACAGAATTAATGAAAATCAAAAGATGGAATGCTGGACAGGATGGAAGGGAAGAGACTCATGCAGTAACCCACTTATATTCAGGCCTAGAGCAAACTGTGTAACATTAACACAGCCATTTAGGAAAGGTTTTCACTCAGGACTGAAGGCCAGGCTGCATTTTATGTACCAGGACTCGGTACCGTGGGCAGCCAGACTTCTGGACCTCACCTTAGTGCACTTCAGGAGCTCAAGGGCAGGTTAAGCTAGTTGTGGAGACATAGTCCAACTGTAATGAAGCAGGAGCCTTAGGACACACTCCAAAACCAGCTCTGACACACCACGGGATGCTCTTAATGCTCAGCTGATCAGCTCCCATTCTCTGCAACATTCCTACTGCTCTGACACAATCTCTTGGTCACATCAGGCTGCTGTCAGCTATGGTGCTGTGAAACTGTGGTTGTGCTGACATTGGTGGCTCTCAGCCTTATATGGGCTATAGGAGAAACCAAGCAGAGAGCATGACCCTCTTCTTTGAAAAAAAAAAAAAAAAAGTTTCACCTTTTTTGAAAGAAAGAAGAGGTTGGGATTATTCTAGGCTTCACTCCAAGATGAGAAGGGATTTTGCTCTGCCCAGACATCAGGCATCCTACATCTCAGACTATGCAAATACTCAGAGTCAGGGCTCTAGTTGACTGATGGACAGGGGGTTTTGCTTGCATAAAGATAAAAGCAAAAAAATTTCTCTACCTATGTGCAATTGAACTCAAAAATTCCATTTAAACCTCACAGCCTTGTGTCCAGGCTCACGGATGACACTGGAAGGGAGATTCAGATGTGGTGTAAGTCCAGGTTATAGGAAGGGATTGGTATTTCCGTGATTAAACTTGGGCTGAATTTGGCCTCCTTTCCACAGAGGACCATTTCGCTCTTCAGGTCAATATGTGAACTGACAGTGCTCAATATTCTTTGGTAATCCCCATACACAATGTGTAAGGTGTGCCCTTACAGTAACTGATACCTCTGAAGACTGTAAGGACACTTATCAAGTGCCCTTAATTTATAGCCCTCGCAGCAGAGCTCAGCTTTAGGCAGGCTCTCGCTCTCTATCCGGAGCCCCCGGTTCAGAAATGCTTTTTGCAACGAGCTCTCCCAGCCTCACTGGAAACCTGAAGTTTTCTCTTGGCACATCAAGCTGGCTGACCTGCTCAGTGACCTCATTCAGGGAGAAGGAAGAGGAGGAAGGTTCTCAGCTATTGCTTACCACCGGCTCAATGGCGAAGACATCATCGCAGAAAAGCATGGAATCTCCTCGCACCTTTGCCCGCTGGTTCTGGAAGGCGCGGGAGAGAAGGGAAAAGCGTCCTCGGAGCTTGGGGTCCACCACGCACTCCTCCAGAAAATGATCTATCTTGTCCTCTTCCTCCCTCTGCAGCATGTGGCACAGCCTGCAGCCACGGGGAGAGACAACCCGAGCAGGTCAATTAATAAGCAACACATTTGCAGAGACTGTCGTGCAAGCGCGGGGGCAGCAATGCGCTCGGGGAGGAACAGCACCAGCTCAGCAAGGGGCTGACCCCAAGCCACGGGGTCCCAAATGGATCAGATTATCGCTGCTTGTTGGCTGGCGTGGCACAAAGCTTTACTCCACGCTTACAAGCTAAGAGGAGGGGTTTGAAAGCCAGCAGCCCCCAAGAGAGCCTCCTGGCTCAAAGCCATTGCCACAGCTGATGGAGAATCCACCAGCAGCCTCAGCTGGCTTTTCCTACCATGGAGCTGCTTGGAGGAGGCAGAGAAAGATCAAGGAGCACCCACTGCAGGGCTGCCCTGGCAAAGGGGGAAAGCAGCTGGGTTTCAGCTACAGGCTACTGGCATCACTCGTTTCCTTCCCTTTTTGGACCTGCCGGGATAAGCAAACTAAATGGAACTCTGTTCCCTAGACTGCCTTCCACCAGAGGATCCCAGAGCACTTTAAAAGCTAAGTAATGAATTCAGGCAACGCATCCCTTCGCTGAAATTAATGGCTTTATATGCCTAAAAACGGAGGCCCTGAGAGGACTTAGCCTAGCATGCCCCACTAAATAAGCCAGGACCAGCATCTCTGAATCCAAACCCTTACATCCAGCCTTGAACCACCTGATCTTTTTTCTGGTTTTGGCCTTCTCTGCAGGGCTGTGACGCAGTTAATCTCTCCCTTACTTAGTAGCCGTAGCGGAAATCATTCTGGTGTTTAAAGATCACAGCCAAGAGATGAGGAGGGAGCACTGCTACAGGACAGTTGCTTCCTAGCTGGCATATTGCTGCCCCCCCTTCACACAACTGTCCCCGGCCACGAAGAACCAGCAGGTCACAGCTCTGGGGGACATGTGGAAGGCTCCATATGTAGCAAATTGAGGCAACGTAGTGTAAAGAGAGCGATCGCCACCCAGCTAAATTCAAATACAGTTAGAAAGGAAATAGTCACGGACATTACTAGCTGTACACAGGTAAAGCCTTGGGAAAACACTGTCACCAGCACCAAAAATATTTGTTTTGGCTCGCTCCCCATGGAGTGGAATGGGAAATGTATCTCCACGGCTGACCTACAACATCGTGTATGAGGAGGGCTTCCAGCCACAGAGATGAGCAACCCTCAACTCAACCCCCAGCAACAGACAATAATTCCGCCAGGACATCCAAAAAGTCCTGCAGGAGGGAGACAGAACAGACCCCTGGATAGACCATCCAATGATCCAGGTCTTTTTGGGTCATATCCCAGTGCACGGTCCTGCACTGCCTCCTCTCATGGAAAAAGTCCTCTCTGCTCTGAGATCTCAAAGGCTTCTCTGACAGCAGGACAGTGGCCTTGGAGCTATGACCATCCCTAAGATTGCAAGTGGGAAGAACAAAACGTCCTGCTCAGAGTCCAGGACACAAACTGGCATGAGATCACATGTAATTGGAAAAAAAACCCAACAGGTTGAAATTAACTGTGGGGAAACCTAGTTGCTCCTGAGGGGAATAGAGGATCACTCAGGATCCAATCTGAGACAGACAGGTGGGAAGAGATGGTAAAGGAATGGTCCAGGGAAGTGCCAAGAGAAGGTCATGAGATTTTCTTTTAACACACTGAGCTTGCAAGGAAGTCACACACTGTGTAATTAAAAATAGAGAACAGTGGAAAACTAGTTTTGGCCTTCAAGGCATTTCTGACCTAATTACATTGAATTTTATTTGCTCAGAAGCCTTTAAAAAGTGCTCCAGTTTAAGGCAGTTTCCTGATCAGTTATGGGTTCACACCAACTCCTATACCTACACCCATCCAAGTCTGAAAAGTCACACAAGGGTTCCCTAAATCACCCAAACTTTAAAAAGTGTCATTTCCAATTCACTCACCCGGGCTGTAAGTGTTTCACTGCTGCCTGAAATGGGAATTTCAAAGCTTCACCAAGGACACCCTTTGAAGAATCTGTCCCATCTCACCACCATGACAACACATATTGCTGAAGCCCAAATGGACTTTGTCCTGTGTTGCCCAACCTTCCCTGCAGAACCCTTCACCTCCAAACTCTCCCCAGCCTCTAAGGAAGGGTAGAAATACCTCGTTGTGCTGGAAACCAAGACAGTGCAAGGCAATTCACCATCCTACAGCAGGATGGCCTCAACTTGCCGGCCCAACGGAGCACTCCACCCTGCACATTGCTGGAAAAGGAACCTGCCGCCTTATCAAAGCTGGAGTGGAAGAAGCTGCAGTGAATATCATAACAGTTAAGCTACCTGCAGCTACGTTAAGTGCTATCACTCAGTGCAGTCCTAGGTAACGAGTGCTGACACTTTCCTCAGCCTCATGAACCCTCCATAGCCCAGGGGGCTCTGGACCTTGGTGGTTTGTGGCTCCCACAAAGGCAAATTTGCTCTCTGAGGAAAGCCAGTCATTGCAATCAACCTTTCCTCCTCAAAACACCGTCCTCAGCTGGAGTATGGGTGGAACTGGAATGGGAAGTGCTGCGCTCCCTTACCCTAAAGCCCAGGGACGCATACCCTGATGCTGTGGATGGTTTACTCATCCTAAACCATTCAAAAGCACCAATACCTCTTGGGGCCATACATTAGCTTCACCGCTGGGCAGCGTATCTTACAGAAATGAATCTTTCAAACAAACCTCAGCTTCTGCTGATCCTCCTCTTCCTGAGTAACAAAAGCCTTCCACTGGAAGCGGACTATGATTTCACTCTGATTGTGGATGACCACAGATCTGTGGTTTGACAGAGTGAGGTAAGTCTTCTCAACTGTCAGGTAGTTCCTGACTAGCCTGATGTTGACATCTGCAGCTGCTCCATAAAGGCTTGTGTGAATATCTTCACCTGGAACAAAGCAAAGTGGAGTCTGCTCATCTCAATTGCTGATGGAAGCACAAGGAGCAGAGTAAACCACCAGTAACAAAGTGTTACTGCTTTGAGCTGTATTAGCAGTTCCACAGGTCAGCACATTTATCACATCCTGATAGCTGCCCGTGTACAGAATGAGGATGTCCCAGACACCACCTTAAGCACCTTATTTATGGGTGTGTTTGCAGAGATTTATCCCCAAGGTGACAGTACTTACAGTGAGATTTTTCACGTGTGCCCAGGAGGCCTTTGGGTTGCCATCCCACTCAGGTCACAGGGAATTCTGCATCCAAGTGACTCTGAGGAGTCCCACCTCAGTCATGGCTTGCCCAGGGTCCCCTGCAGACACACCACCAGTGTTGTGTCTCTCCTCATCCCTTGTGGCTGACAAGCAAAGATGCCTGGGGGCATGCGGGCAGAAAAGAGGGGTTCAGAGGAACAAGTGAAGTGACAGCTCACGGCAGGATGGGACGCACGAGAGAACTTCACTGTGCTGCAGGAGTGTTGCCCTCGCTTGCTGTGGGTTTGTGAGGATATGTCAAAACAAGACTGGTGGGGCATGGCCCACCCCAACCTGCCCATTACAGTCCTGCAAGCCCGTTTCCTCAGCCTGGACCCTGTTGCTTATGCTTGAGTCTGCAAGTCGACACGGAGCCTTCCCAAGCTATCCAACAACCAGAGCAAGGCCATCTTTGCTTTCCACCTCAGAGCCAGCTGAAGAGGAGAGCATCGCTGGCTGTGCACACAAACTAACAACTGGAGGCTTGCTTGAGTCCCTGTCAGCATATCCCCCTCCCAAACAGACTCCCACCAAAGGCCCCCTCATTTCCAGAGCTTCCAACCCTTCATTCTTCCCAACTGAGTAACTCCTGGGAGTCAAATGAGCTCAAACTTCAGTACCAAGCCCACTCGTCCTGTTGCAGGCAAGCGTTTCCCAGGTGAGATGCAAACAGCCAACATCAGACATGCTCTCTAGAAATGGCGTTTCTAGGGAGTGGTGCTTAAAGCCTCAGAGCCAGCCCCGACGGGCAAGTGCAGAAACCCAGCCATGCCCTGGAGAGCATCCCTCTGCAGAAGCAGAGCCTTCTCCTCACTGCACAGGTTACAGCAAGACAGCCAGTGCACAGACCTGCCTTTAAAGGGCTACCATGCAACGACACAGGGAGAGCACTGGGTGTGTGCTGGATGGACTCCTGAAATCCTAAGCCAGACCCAACACAGCAGAATCGCATTCGTTCTGGGAAAAAAGAAAAACAAAACAAAACAAAACAAAACAAAACAAAACAAAACAAAACAAAAACAAAAACAAAACCAAAAACAAACAAACAAAAAAAAAAAACCAAAAAAAAAAAAAACCAAACACCTCTTCTTTCAGACGCATGCTGTGGAATGAAGAAAGACTCACCCTTCAAATAGTAAATCTCTACAGTCATTCATTCCCCTCCACACACGGAGAGAATTCAGTCTTCATGCCTGTATAACCTCAGTTTCTCTGCTCTTAAGGGAGTCTGGAGGGGTAGGGATTTGTGGCCAAAGATGAGTTATGCTGCGAGAACAGCAGCAATGTTTCCAATGACTGGGCAATCTGCTTTCTATTTGCATACAAAAATAACTGACATTCAGAAGAGTTACAGAGGCAGGTATGCTTTATAAGCATCGCCTCTCCCCTCCACTGAACCCTTGGCATACATCGGTAAGCAGAGCAGCCAGGACCCACGAAGTGGGAGACAGGCAGAGTGCTTCGAGCACGCACAACTCAGGTTTAGGGAAACATGAGCTAATGCCCTACAATGATCAAGACTACAAATTACTACGACATAAACACCATGAAAACTATCATCATCTCACTGTCTAAACCCATGGCCATGTGGGTCTTGAAATATTGGGTATAGTTCTGATTTCAAAAACCAAGCTGAAGCATTTGGAATTAGAGAAGGGCAGAAAGAACAACAACTACGAAGCAGCTTTTATGTGAAGACTGAATAGGATTCCTCATCCTAGAAATTATACGGGAGAGGTTTGTAAAAGTCTGAATGGCCTGGGAAATGTGAAAAAGGAGAAAGTTGTCCCAATTTGTCATAAAACAGGAACCCAAGGGCCTGAAATAATCTTATTAGTCAGAAATTACACAAAAGCAGTAGTGCTTTTCCAGGGAGTATTCCTTCCTTTGGAACATACTGCCATAGGAGGCTGTAGGGGCTAACAGCTGTAAATCCAGAGAGCAACTGGACAAATTCTTGGAAGATAAAACCGTCAGAAGCTGTTAAACAAAGATGAGAATCAAGCCTCCAGCACAGAAAAATGCTAACTCTAGAGCCCATGAGGGAGAAAGCATATGCTCTGCCTGTTTCTGCACATTTTGCTAAACATCCCCTATGGCTGCTCTCCTGGAGAGGAGCTGGGGACGCAGCCACCCTTACGCTCCTGGCTGCAGGCACCGAGGACCCTTCTGAAGGCTGGAGGGTTTGCTGGAGCACCTTCTGCCACAAAGGGAAATATTTGGCATCGTGCTGAATCCATAAACCCACCAATCGCTCGGTACAGGAGAGCGTGCAGAGCTGCCAGCGAGACAGGAGGAAGCCACAGATCTGTCTGCCAGGCAGAGGAGCTGACACAGAGGGCGGACCTGCCAGCGCTGGCCAAGGGCGGCTGCAGAATTCACATCTTGGCTGTCAAATTAGATGTGACATTTCATTTAAGACTCTAGGTTGTTTAATATATAAGTCTTAAAAAAAAAAAAAAAAAGGCCCTCTGTACTGTTCCAGCGATGTAGCACTAGGCATTTCACTTGGCAGGGTAATGTCCACGGTGTGTGGTTTGGGACGCTTTGCATTTACTGAACCTAGATGTATCTGCCCTATCATTATTTACACAACACGATCTTATTACAGGCTGTCAATTCTCTCTTCCTTACACGCTTTTGATACATTTCCTACAGATGGCAGGACACAGCTTTCACTCTGCAACCTGAACGAAGCAATGCCTGAACTTGAATTAAAAGCTAGATGTTTTATAGAGCAGTAGAGCAGATGCTTTGGGTTGTGCACTCCTGAGCGATGCTCTTTGACAGAGCAGAACCACCACTGTGTTTTATTCCAGCATCCATCTGCGTGACTGGACACAGGTATCTGAGCACATAGTGATAACTTTTCACTATCCTGAAGAAAGAAATCTAGCATTGGGTCGTCCTCTGTGGGGCCTGTTGTGCAGCAAAAAGAGGAAACTTACAGCTAAAACATCTTTCTCAGTTCTTTCTGAATTCTTCAAATACTACCTGATCATCCCCATGCAAGAGGGAATAGTTTTCGGAGCAGTACAAATTGTTCTTAAAGACAAAACCAAATTTTGTTTAGCCTGAAAGTACAGTTCAATGAATGGATGAGCAAACCCTGGAACAAGGTTTCAAAACAAATTTTGGGTTTTATGAAGCACGCTTGTCCAGTATTCAACAGCTAGTACTTTCCTTCATTGATTACTGCTCTAAACATTAGGAAGCTGGTAGCCAGATTGATTACATTGAAGAGAAACAAAATAGCAGCCTGCTGCATTTCATCTTCACTGAGAAATATTCTTTCTGTATCCTTGTGCCTCCCTCTTTGCTGAATTTGGATTTTAAATCTTCATAGGAATGCATGACAGTCGAATTTGGAATATTTAGGTAGCATGGAAAGCAAGTTTAATTTCATTTGCCCAGTTTGTCAGAAGGCTGTGCCTTGCTCTCATCTCTGCTATGAACGCAGCTGAAGAGAGACAGGTCCTGCTGCTTTTCCACTGAAAATACAAGCAAGCAATGGAAGCAGAGCTCCTCACTCAAAAGGGTGTTAACTGTACCTCCGTATAGAGCTGCAATAAGTAATTCTTTTGCTCCTGCTACTATCGCACCCAACTGCCTCACCACTGCTGGCATAGTCTGGTTTTTCAAACAGCGTGCAGAGGTTCTGCTGTTACCACTTCACCACCAGAGAAGCAAGTCACTTTACTAGGCCAAGCAAAAGCTAGAGAAGTCACCTGTAGCTGGATCCAGCCCCTCCTCCGTATGTTTTTTTGCTGCATCTCCCACAGAGATGCCACCAGATCAGAGGCAGGAGCATTGCTGTTTCGCTGTTGGGAAGCTGAGGGCATCACCTACGAGGTGCACTGGGTCCTCGCTGGCCTGAGAAAGGCCATCTGTCCATCCCCACGCTTGTATTTCTAGCACTAGAGCAAAACGCAGAGCAGCGACAGTCATTTTTAAGTGCTCCTCGGAGGCGGTGTTCACCAGCTACCTTCAGACATCATTAAACCATCGTGTTATTTACTCCGGTCCTAACAGCAGCTTGTTTATAAACCTCACCACTAAATAACTGCTGCCGCTAGCTTGGGTGTTTCTCCAGAATCATTCCCAGGCTGCAACAAAGCTCAGAGCATCCTAATCGTTACTGCTGCCGCAGTTCTTGCTGTTAGCGGTCAGAAGTCCCCAGCACCCCCTGAGCCCATGCAGAACACTGTAAGGAGAGGGTCTCTACCCCAAAGGCATGGCAAGGAACCACGAGACAACAGACAGGGATGAAAAGGGAGATGGAAAGCAATGACCAGCCAGCAGTGGTCTATGAAACAGGTTGCAGGCTCTTCAGACAGGTCTCTGGGACGTTAACTCATCCCATTTCCAGCCAGGCTCCTTGTCGTGCATCCTTCTGTAAGGGGGCACCCAAAGCGTTCCCTGTTACCTCCTCTCACTGTGCTTAGGAAGATCTGTTTGCCTTGTTGCAGGATGAAATACTCCGGCACAGGAATATCTGGGAGCCGGCACAGAGGCTTTGTTCTGCCCGGCGTGAAGGAGCCTCAGAGAATGCACTGAAAAGGACAATGAAATCGTCGGACGATGAAAGACAGCGCTGCCGCACATCCAGGATGCTGCAGGCTATTTTTAATCATTATTGCTACTACAGTAATGATACGCTGGGCTACCTGACTGGCTGAAACATTGCTTTTGGCCC